TTCCTCCGCTTCCCCCCCCCCCCCCCATACGTCTTTGGCCGCCCATGTCCGGTTGCCGCGCACGCTCTCGCAATGAACCTTCTCCTGTTCGGCTTGTGATGTTCTGCTTTGGCTGCCCAGCGGCCTTCGTCATCTTAAGCAAGTGCCCGCGCAGACGCTGGATGAGTCTGATCCGGTACGGCGTCACATTCCGGCAATGCCTCAGAAAGTGCATGTTTAATTGTCGGCTCCATATGACTCCAGAAAAGGCGCTCAGTATTGCTAGCCGGGGCGCTCCAAGAGAGCTATGACGACCTTTGAGGCGTGCGCGTCGCCTGCGGTGAAAGACAGCTTTTTAATTTTTTTATTTTGTACCAGTATTATTATTTTTTTTTTTCTTGGGGGGGGGGGGGGGGGGCTGGCCAAGAGCTGGACTATGCCACACTACAGGGCTTGGATCCCAACCTCCCTGGCCCGCATGGACAAAAACTATACCTCAACAACTTAAAAAAAATATATATGTATATATATATATGTATACAGGTAGATGCAGAAAAAAAATATATATATATATATATACATATACATATACATATACATATACATATACATATACATATACATATACATATACATATACACATACATATACATACATACATACATACATACATACATACATACATACATACATACATACATACATACATACATACATACATACATACATATCTATACATGGTGCTGTCGCAGTGGGCCAGGGTCTTTTGCCATCTTTTGCCCAATCCGACTGGACACGATTTTTGAGGACTCCGATTTTGACTGAAGCTTGGTCGGATTCCGGCCGGCGAGGTGCCGAATCAGCCGCGGTCGACGAAATGATACGAAATGCACGCACTCCGTGCGCTTCGATTTTTGCTTGATTGATGGGATTTGCACAACTCCCGCCCTTCGAGCACGAAACTCGAAAGACCTGTTGGCATTCGCAGACAGCAAAAGAGGGAAAACGGGGAGGACGGCGATAAAAGAGAAACACATAGAAACACATGAGAAGAGCGCATCCGATCTGCATCATACTGTATCCACGGCACATGCCAGGTCCGGCAGCTCAGGGATCAAGGACGCCACGGCCACTGCGAGACCCAGCTGCGTGGCGTTGGCAAGGCACTGGACCATGCCCTCGGCGCCTCTCTTCAGCGCTGCGAACTGCGAACTGGCTGCGAAGTGCTGCGAATGTCTTGTCTTAGCTAAGCTTTAGTGAACTTTAGTAGCAAACTTTACTGTTACCCCCAACGTCACGCAGCAATGGCATGGTCCAGACTCAAGAAAAGGGAAAGGTGTCCATTCAAGTGAGCTCCAGCCTGCTTCAGTTCTGATAACTTTCGCGATGAAATCTGAGCGAAGAGAGCATGTGCAGATTGCTCCAGGACACGCTAGCACTGCCGCTGCGAAATCTGCCAAGGAGTCAATGCCGGAACTCCCATATCCAAGCCTGGAAGGTCGACACTGGAAGCTTCAAAGCCGCCATGTGCGCCCAGGAAGGCCGTCTTGCTTAGGTCCGAATTGCCTGAGATGCTCTCCGGATCTTTGGAATAAACTGATGCCGAACCCAAGGCAGCCAAGTGCGCAGGCAGCACACCCGAATCAAATGACTCAAGATAGGACAAATCTCTTCTCATTGGTTCCTCCGCCTGTCTTGGACGCATGATGCAATCGAGCAGCGTGAGTAGTGTTGTAGGTCTCCGCTCCTGGGAACGGTGGTGCGGCCCGGCGCCGAATCTGATATCGATTGTGGCTCACAGAAAAAATCACGAGCTGTCGTGCCTAGCCGGTGCTGCACGGTTTTTTTGGGCACCGACGTGCTCAAAGCCTGTCAAGTATTTGCGGGACTGGCTGCGTCATCTCGAACCCTTCAGCAAAGTCGACTGCTACGCATGGGACGGAGCCTGGCGGCGGAAGGACTTTCAGGAGTGTGGGCGCCACTGGCACTTCCTGCGCAGATGCTCGCTTTCTTGCATGTAGCCTCTTTCCTTGATCCGTTGGAGCTTGTGCACTCTAATCCTGCCTATGGGCTGCACCGTGCTGGACAAGTCAGGACAAGGGATGTAACAGAGAGTAGACAAGATTCAGCCAGCCTTCGCATCATCAGCTGAAGAGGGATCAAGACTAGGCGAAAGAGATTCTGAAGTGTAGACGGTGCAAGCCACTCAGGCTGCAACGACATGAGCATACTAATTTCATGGGGTGCGAAACGCAAGTAAGGCAGTGAATGAAAGTCGCCCTGACATCTCCAGCCCTTCGGGCACTTAAACAATCGAAGGCTACTTCGGACTCTCCTAAGTCCTACGTCATCTCCCATCCTGAATCTTGGACGATCTGCGATACGATGTCAAGTTTCACAAAAAGGAGGTGCATCGCTTCCTTCAACGCCCACCTTGCCCGCCTACTGCCAGAGAATGTCTCCTTGAAGTTAATTGTCAATGTTCAGGCTGATGACCCAAGCAAGGAACATGCCAGAATAAGTGCAGACTTGGACCAGCCATGCTTTCGACCACATGCCGACAGCATCATCTGCGCGAACTGCCTCCATCTAACTGCGTGCTTGAACGTAATGTCATGCTCGAAATCACGCAGCGGTAGCCCAGTTCCCGTAGGCACTTGATGCTACACGGTCTAATCTGGCTTGGATGAAACCGGCGAAACCCGTGTGACCACTCCAGCACATCCACTGCACAAGCAACGAAAACGCACCCCCATTGCCAGCGGGAGATTCATCCGCCTGCACTCACGGATGCCTCCCTCATAGCACATGATTGAAGATGCACACGTCTGCAAGTCATGTGGAGGTACTGTAAGTCATGTGGAGGTAGGGCAAGCAGAGCAAGTTAGGCTAGTGGGGACAATTCCGGGTAGTTATGCCACCGCCGGGCAAGTGTGCTCCGCTCGTCCCACTTTCCTCACGCGCATCATCTCCCCCCAACCTTTTTAACGGAAGTTTCAACTAGCTCGCTTTCCGGCAATTCTGCTAGCAAGCTGACAGCCCCCGGAGCGTCCTGGTCGAACTGTTGCATTCGTGCTCTGCTTTCACCTCGCAAGCACGCCATTGGCTGTCCATGTGCAAGCAGGAAAGGCGAAGACTTGTTCTTGAGAAACACTTTCCAGACCACGCCTTCGAACGCACCCGCGCTCAACCTTGGTAGCTCGTAGCCACTCGCAAAGTAAAGCTAAACCACCATGTGCCCTCAAAATGGGGCTACGACCTGACACGCGCAATGCTAAGCCTCGTAAAAGTAGGCTCAAGGGCAGCGAGCCGAAACATTGCAGAACATGGGTTCTACGCCTGACTATGCTGACACGATGAGCAGCGTGCAATGCACAGCCGCGCAGCACTCGCTTTTTGTCAGGCGGGCTGGACCATCTACCTGACCAACGGGCGGCTGCAGATACTTAGACCGTCGCCGCTCTCCTTTCGAACGCGGCAGTAGTGAGCAGGGCCGTCAGAGCACAGCAGGCTAAAGCGACATTGACACAGCGCCGGATCGGCCAAACACCGTTGCAATTACCGAAGGCCGCACGGCCCACATTCCGGCTGTTTCGCCCCATTGACTCGCGGGCGCCAGAAAAGAAACCCAAGTCTCGGCAAGCTGGTGCCAAACCTGGTGCCAGAAGAGGATGTCCCGAGATTGCGGGCGACTGCGGTTCCACAACTCATTTCTAGATTGCAGCGGTCTGGTCGAGCTTGCCGAGTCCTTTACGCAGGGGATTTGTACCCCTACTCTCAGGTGAGGCGCTGGCTTTCTGGGGCTTGTGTTCTGCATCTGCAGCTGGCAAAATGCAAGAAGCAACTTTGCACGGATGGGCCTGCATCAGACTTGGCAAAACCCTGCCTGGACTAAAAACTGCCAGGCGATTGCAAGTCTTAGACGGCCCTGGCCTTGCAGACGTTCTGAGGCGAGCTCAAGCATCACTCATGACATCCTATGACTTCGGCACGTGTGCTCTGAACATCTGGCTCAGCTTGGGCTGAATACATCGACCCCGCAGCTAAACAGTACAGGCACTCTGGACCTCTCACCAAAACACCCCTGAAATGCCCTGAAATCCTGGCTCCAAGCACTACCCAACTTTTGGAGAACATTACTCGAACCAGATGTGAGTGCCCTGCCCAGTAACATGGGATCGACAGCTCTGCTTGCCCTGTCTGCGTAAAACACGCATTAGGAGCTTCGTCAAATTGAAGCTGCAGGGCATGATCTGGCCCTTCACATCACAAAACTGGAAGGCTCAACAAGCCGAATTGAAGGCCCAGACACGACAGCCTAAGGTTTCGGAAGTCTGGATCTACTTCGGTTGTACGTCCTCAAGACATCGTGAACTGTCACAATCGTCGTAAGGGGTTGGTGGGTGGCTCAGGGCAGAGTGCATGAGGAAAGGGGTGCATGTGCGGCAACAAGTACCAATTGTACAACAGTCAAGAAGAAAAATGGCTTGAAATGAAGCTTCATTGAGACGGCTGTTTAGCTGGCTGAAGAAGTGCTCTGCTGCTAGGCTCGGCTAAGCTAAAATTTCACAGCAAGGCAACTCTAGACAAAGGTACCTGGTGCTGCTGGTCAGGCTGTAACCCTATTCATCACGCGTGACTTTGTGAGAGAGTCGCATCTGCAAAGCCTGCATGCACTATAGAGAGGGCTGCAACATGACAGTGGTGCGCGATGTTCCACACCAGATCTGTAAAGCCTTGAGAGCACCAACTTAAAAGTAGCGGTTCTCTCCGATCGCAGCCATCCCCCCGCGAATTTGTGCACGAGGATTCTCGCGCTCTAGACACTAGACACTATACACTCTTGGTCTCGATCTCCGTATGCACATCGAAACATATACACATATATATATATATGTAGATAATTACTGCTAGTGTGCTTCATCATCTTACAGATACATATCTGTCTCATCGCCGGGTTGCACTATCTATCTACCCACGGTGCTTGTCCTAACCCGTATTCCGCACATACCTATACAAACTATGTGCCTTTTTTCATGATCTCCTGGAGGTTTCGTCCAAACCTTCGCGTGGCCGCCACCATGATGTGTCTTCCCACTGGCGACCGTTGTAGTTTTGGCCAGGATGAGGCCAGAAGCTTGAGGATCCTTGGCTTCTGCTCAGCTTCGGCCCAGGAAAGCCTGTTCTACGTTGTTTAGGGGCCGGTTCCCGTGATGCTTCCTTTCATGCACAATGAAGACACAAACTACTGCCCACGAACATTGAGCATCATTTCTTCTTCGTTGCCGCAGCAGCACTGTATGACACCTTGGGCTGGCGGGATTGGACAAGTGCACCGGGTCAAAGAAAACATTGCATGCTTGCCAAGAATGGAGTACGTCGGCGCGTATGTGCCGTGTCTGCGTATGTGTTTTTTTTCTGCATCCGAGTTGATTGCGAAAACGTTACAAGATTACATAGCCAGGGCTGCGTTGTGCCAGGTAGTTGCCGAACCGATCCAAGAGAACCTGCATTAGAGGACTATGGGGCACATGCCGGAGCAAAAATCCTGCGCATGTTGAGCGATCATGGGTAAGAGAACAGTACTCATAAGACGTCATGGCGCAGATTCCACACCTCATTATCCCAGTCCAGTCACCTGGCACCCTGCGTGCTACATCCTGAGGCTCAACTTCGCCTAAACCCCCCGAAGGATGGAAGAATCATCAAATGGAGAACGCTCACCTGAAAACAGATAGACAAGCATTGACGTGCCTGGCTGAGTGGGGCTTTGCCCGAGAGGTTGCTCTGAATCAGCTGAGCCTGGTCATTAGAGCCAAGCGGAGACTCCGAACGGTCATGAAATCGCAGGGTCATAGGGTCTAGATGGACATGCTGTGGGAAATCTCTGCGATGCTGGCTAGCTCCATCGAACGTAACTGGGCCTGCGCCAACCAATCGGAAGCATCGGCTGTACGCTTTCACCATTTGGATGCCCACTTCAAGCCGAGGCTTCATAAGGGGAAGGCTCAAATCATTCAATTGTGCTAAGGCTCCCCATGACCATGACCCCCCGTGATGTTTTTCTACCGGGATCCCCATGTAACTCAAGAACCACTTGTACCTCCCCAAATGTTACTTCACAACCTCGCTCCAGCACGCAAGCAAAGCAGAGTGGCCATAAGCTGCTTGCGCGGCAGGCGAAGCTCTTCACAGCTGCTCGACACCTGGCCATTGCTCTCGGAACAACAGGGAAGTCCCTGGCAAGTCCAAGTGTGGCACAGAGACCCCGAAGTTCAAGCGACATGTTGCGGCTTGGCCCTTATCCGGCCCTAGTGACCTTTGTACTCCTTGTGAAGGGGCCTCCAAACATCGCTCGAACACCAGTGAGGCATGCCTTGGCCAGCGTCTGGCCCAGCGAAAAGAGGCGCGGGCAGTACAGCAAGGAGAAAGGCGAATTTAGGGCCGGCACTTGTGCTTTGCAAATTTGAGGACATTCGTGCCAAGAACGTCCAGGATGGCCTCGAATACAGCGGGAAGCGATGTTGCTGTAGAGAAGGAATAGGCATCAAATGACATCATGTGAAAGAAACTCTGCTTTGCATCTTGAGCTGCTTTGACATGGGACGTGGTGCCATGTACCAGCAAGGCCCGCAAGACATTGCTGCCGAAGAGGTCTTTCAGCAGCTTCTCTACATTGTCCGTGTTGCCGAGCAGGGAGTCAACGAGTTCGATGAGTTGTGGCTCACGTGAGCAGTGCTCAATCAAGCGCTGCAACACGCGGCACCCATAAACATGAACTGCCACAGTGACCGCATGGTCTTTGAGCTCCTTCGGAGCGGGGAGAGATCAGGTTTGAGCAATGCTTCAAAAACTACATTCTTCGTAGGCTTGGTCTTAGGGCTTGGAGGGATAAAAAGGACCTAAGGTATGGGGAGACTCCGTGTTCCTCGACCAAGAAGACCCCCACGCGGGGTTCCAGGAGCTCAATGCATTTTTGGAGGACGAAGTTGGCGTGCAGGTGCAGGCTGAGGCACAGGACCTGACCCTTGAGTTCCGAGGTGAAAGACTGCTGAAACTCGGGCAATGCTTCTCGCAAGGCAGCCTGGACGACTCGACAGCCAAAGCGGTCTTTCGTTAGACGTAGCAGTGAGCCCTTCAAACAGCTCGAGAGTGCGTTCACGGCAGGACCGAGCTTTAAGTCCTGACAATGGCAGAAGAGTTCACTGATGACGCCTGCGCCGTACGGATGACTGGCCAAGCTCGGCACTTCCGGAAGCAGGGCCGACACCAACATCGAAGCTGCAGCGGGGTTAGAGCTAAGAAACTTGGTGACCACATCAGTCCCATTCGGACTTCGAACCAGCTTGGCAACACAAGCCTTGGTGGACAGTCATAGACGCTGCAGTGTCTTTACCATGTCTCGCTTGCAAAGCATTGGGCACCTGCAGCTGAAGGGCTATGTCGGGTAGTACGTCCGTCCGTGGCGGCTTAGGGCAAGCCGGGTCGGCCTGCCCCAATGCGCCCTGAAAGCGTAGGCCTCGATCTCGTGCTTGTTCCAGGAGGGTCGGCGCCAAAGCCATCGGTCTCTCCACGCACCTCGGCCGATGCAGCGCCAAAGCCACGACCACATGTCTTGCAACAGTCGCAATGAGGGTGTAGTCTCGTTCATGCTATAATTGCCATAACAATGCCAGCCCGCGTCGTCCACAATGTAAGCAACACGTCGCGTGGGCTTCTGAATCAAGGGACATGGCCCCTACATAGGGTTCCTTGTCTGGTTGTTACTCTTAACATCTTTTAGCTGTCATTGGGTAACCTTAGCATTCTCTCCTTCTGCTGGCCGTTATCGACTATTGTCCGCCCCAGCCACACGAAGCCATGACTTGCCATCAGCATCGAGGCGATTTCCTGCGACAGGTGCCGCGCTATGTTCGGTGCAAGAATACAACTTGCCAAGCGAAGAGAAAGAAAAAAGGACTAGACCGACAACTGAGAACCTTTCAACACCACCCTGAACCAGTCTAGAGTCTAGCCGAGTCGAGCTCTGCAAGGCCTGTCAAAGCCTGACATTGAAGAGAAGAAGTCGTCCCCTCTTCCCCTACCCAGCACCTGCGACTTGTCCGCGAGAACGCCCCGTGATGCTAAGAGACCCGGTGGCAAAAAAGTTGGCACAGCTGGCCTCAGCGAGCTGGACCTGGGGTCCCTGATTGTAGTGAACTTCTTAACGCAGAGTACTTTTCCACACTCCGTCTGTGTGGAAAAAGAAAGACAGAGGGAAGGCACATGAGAAGGCTACTGCCATGCTGTTGGTGCACTTGTGTTGGCGCTGATCAGGCATTGTTATGGCAGCAAAGCGTCATAAAAGGATTCGCGACAGCGTCGTCCGCGAGATACCTGTCTGAAACAACATGCATGTGCTGCTATTTGCTCTGGCACCAGGGCAGCGCTGAGAGTATGGATGGCAGCGGGCGTTCTTGCCGCAAGTGTCGCACACATGCAGCCACAGGGAACAGCCCAACCTCTTCCAAGCATCATCACCAAGGCAGCCCGCAGCCCCTTCGACCAGGAGTTGGACAAGCCATTGTCACTTGTTTCAACGAGCTTGGCAGCATGTCCCCTCTCGTGCCACAGATGCTACTTTTCGTGCAGCACTGCAAAGCCCCAACACTACATCTAAACTATAAACCCATGCTGTAGTAGCTCCTCCTACCCCAATTTCGCTGGCTTCAGGGTTGCATATACGCCTATGCAAACAGACTTCGCCCCTGCCCGCCGAAAAAAGTGATCCACCTTGGTTGAACTAGTTTCTGCTTCCGAGGCCGCCCTCCCCCCTAGAGCACCCATAAGATTGTGCTTGTGGAGCTGGTGTCTGCATGCTTTGAGGGAGACCCCACTTCGGCTCTTCTAGCTCTCGCAACTCCAAGGCAACTTTTTAACAGCCAGAGAAGCACCTTTGGTTTTAGAAGGCAGGGGAACTTTCTTCTCATTTCCTATAAGATATAGGCCCGCTTCCTTTTTCAAACAGGAAGTACAGGAGGGGCTTCATGCCGCTTTCACTTACGGATAGTTGATACAGGAGCTTATATGGTTACCTTTTGCACAATATGTGGCCAGTAACTTCAACAATTCAACACATGCTTGAGTTGCAAGTAATGTTAATGTGCAAGTGGTCCCTTCCATTGATTTCGCTTGTAGACAGGACTGTTGTGAGGGCCCATAGAGGATGGCATTCTGCGGCTTTTCAGTCTTAAGGTTTCAGGGCATGGGCTCTCACACAGTTCGCTGAGTTGACCCCAGCAGCTGCCCGTGACTACTCGCGCCCTTGTCTATGTTACTCGCGGTATGGTGTGCTGTTTACAAGAATTTGGGTTGCCTATGAGCAAGACAGGGGGCAGGAGGGGGGCAGAAGGGAGGGAGGGGCGGGGGGGGGGGTGGGGACACCCGTGTGACCTTAGCCCCTGAAATATCACCTGCACGGAGATAGATTTGGTGATTGAATCCAAATAGAATTCGGCCCCTGGGCACAAGGTTATAAACTGATCTGGTGCCTATGACGATGTTGACTGCAGAGAAACGGGGTAGATGGAACTGACATAGAAATTGTCTGGACTTGCAAAGCACACATTGCCAACATTCCCAGTGTTTCGTGTTGATGACAGGCTTTCATAAGGATTTGCAACAGGACTCACACAAGTTCAAAAGACGTCAGTCTAGTTTTGCGACAAAGCTAGGCTGTTTGTTCTACAAACATGGTCTTTATAGCCTGTACAGCTGATAAAGCGTGAGGCAGATCACCGCCACAAACTGGTTGCTTTTCAGCCCTTGCAGTCAAAACAACTCTTGTAGCGGTTCCGGAAATCACGGGTGCCAAGTGTTTATGGCTTTTAATACCTTTTCAAGGGTTCTGGACAGTACGGGCCCAATTTTGTGGCATGTATTTGCTTTCAGCGTTTATCGGTTCCTAAAACCGCGAGCGCCACCTTGTTATGGGGCTTACAGGTTACAGCTTTGCGGAAATCACGGGCGCCAAATTGTTATGGTATTTACTATAGCTTTTCAAGTTGATTAAAGTGTTCCGGAGATCACGTGCGACAAAGTGGAATTGCTTTTATGGCGTGTACTAGGTTCCGGAAATCATAGCTTTTGTAGTTTTTTATGACCTTAAGTAGCTTCTAAAAGTGTCCGGAAATCACGGGTGTCCTTTTTTAGCTTTTCATATGTTAATGGTGTTCATGTCTTCCAAATGGTTCCGAAATCAGTGACAGCAACAGGCTCTAGCTTTTTGTGGCTTGTCGAGACTTTTCATGTGTGTATGTATGTGTGTAGATATATATATATATATATATATTGCTATTTATTCATGTATCTATATTTGTTTAGCCATTTATTCATCCCGCACTCGGTCGGTGTAATCTCGCCTGATGCCAGCATAGCCAAGGAAGCGGAAAGGTGCAAGCCTGGGTCGGCATGCGAAGCAAAGTAGGAAGAGCAGAAACATGAACAGAACAAGCACTGCTCTTGACTTTCATATTTGGAACGGAGCATTTCTAGTCACGCTCTCTTCGCGCTGACTGCCGCGAAGCTGCTGGATTCGCAGCCACAAAGCCGCCAGGTCAGCGCTACACCAGCTATGCTTGGAGCAGGCAGCACAACGGCGCAAAGTGCAGAAGCTCCGTGCAGGTTAAGATGTGGAAACTCAGGCACATGAAAGACTTCGACAGTGCACAGCCCACCTCAAGATCTGCCTTCTCTGGGCAAACGACCCACAGCCGGGTTGGTAGTGGCAGTGAAGGGGCGACCTGCCATCAGATTCGAAAGAGGTCAGATCCACATAGACGCCGAACACATGCCCGGGGGCAAAGCGGGCAAACCGTCCAGATGCAACATGAATTTTGCACTTGTTCTGGGGCCAAAAGGAGATCCTGAGAATGCACTTCGGCTCCTTCCCAAGACAAACTGATCTCTTCATGTTCTTAGTGATAGTTCTTTGCCACCTGCCAAGCAGGCACGCTGCACTGTCGGGCAAGTCCACAGTCTGGCACATTACCAAAACACTTCCTGCAGACCCTCGGAGCATCCTGTCACCGGACTTTTTTGAGCCCGGGCCAGCGCGCGCGGCTGCAAATGCCTCGGAGTTGTGGACAGTCGTTGGAGATCCTCGGCTCTTTGGCTAAGCTCACAGGTTCAGTCCCATAATTATGGCACTAGCAATTCTGCTTTGAAGGCTCTTAAAAAGAAGAACGATCGTGAAGAAGCTCAACATGGTTCAACAATCAAAGTCAGGACCGACACCAGCCAGCAGAAGCCCTCCTGCTAAAGTCCTATTTCTTGCGCCTCACTTTCTTGTATCAGAGTTTCCTTGCGTGTCTCCTGCATCCTGACACTCGAGAAACTCTTTTGACTGCAGCATTTGCAGGATCGAGGCTTGGGTTATGATGATCCTTTTTGCTGGGAACAGGCAGTCTCTGCTGCGAGAGGATGAGGGAAGGTGGGGGAGGGACAGTTGCACCGCAACACTAGACGCTTCAAAAGACAGAGAGGCCTAAACTAGGGCAAAAGGGCCTAAACTTACTGTTGGTTAGTAGGGAATGGGGGAATAAGGTACCGTATATATACCCTTTAAGGGACTATCTAGGGTCCCTCATTCCCCCATTCCCTACTAACCAACAGGAAGCAAAGTGCCTAAAGCCTGGGATCGGAGTTTAAAATGTTTAAGGGGCTCGTGGGCCTGGCGATCTGAGACGTGGTATTCGGTCTGAAGATTGCAAAGTATAAGGTCACTGAAAATGTGGCTGAAGGTATTCCAATGCGAGAAACCGGAAGTAGAGAGAGCCTCTCAGTTGGCCAGGAGACCTCGTCTGGACTGCGAGCATGCGGCAAGGACAACCGGAAGCTCTCAAGCACGTCCTGCCAGGAATGGGCATGACATCACTGGTCGAACGAACTGGGATTCCCAGCTGGTCCTTCTGCCAGGCTTCTGCAGCTCGAGCCTCCACCCGTCTCTCAAAGTCCTGCTGAGCCGTGTCCGGCTTTGTAGCACATGCTTCATGAAATCTTGTAGTCTTGTTGCCCTGCAAACCACCAGAGTAGCCTGTCAATTCCTTCTGTGCTCATGCGGGTCAGCCTGCGCCTCTGCGTCGGCAGGCCCATTCAGCAAGAGCCGCGTATTCTGAGGGCCAGTAAACAAAAGAAAGATGCTTAGGATCTCGTCTTCTCCGAGTACGACAAGTGAGATGCGACGCAACGGGCAAGACAGGTGCTTAGGTTCCCAGGGCGCCGCTCGGCACTGCAGCACCCTCCAGCTATTCTTCCGCAGAACAAGAATAATTGAACTTCCGAGGCACCATTGGCAGCATGCGGCTCCACATCTGCTCTTGGTCCATGGCAACGTCGCACGGCTTCTGTCGAGTGCCTGCGGTCGTTTTTGGCAAAGCGTTTGTGGCTGGAGTGACGGCCGATCCCTGTCGCCATGGTAAACCTCAGCACCAAACCCACACCCACACTCTCCAGTCACTCCGGTCCAGTAAACCCACTGGATCGCAGAAGCAGCCCGCAGCTCGGGGCCAGAGGGAAGCGGAATCTGGCAAGCAAAGTGAAGGAGTGGCGAGGTCTTCGGCAACGTTACGGGTACATGTCATGACGCTCGCTGTGACGTCACATGGTTCGAGGATGGTCGGCCATTGCAGCACGCGTTTCAGGTTTGAGGTCTCGGGGTCTTGAGGGATTTTTTGCAGGGCCCAGGCCTTCCCAGCAAGGCGGGAAGCGGCGCGAAACTTGAGGCAAGTTTCAGGGCTTTGGGGGCAGACTGATGACTTGGGACCTGACAACCCCACAGAAGTTGAGGATTGGAGGTGGCCTCGCTGGGCTGCGCAGCGCGGCCTTCAGGGAAGCCTCGGGCCTTGGCTTCGGTTGGGCACTGGGCACAGGAAATCCCTCGACAGGAGATTGACTCTAACTTGACCCTGCGGTGGCAAAGCGCCTTAGCCCTACGGGAGGACCTTGCTGCGAATGCGCCTTTGTGACTCTTTGTGGACAAACTCTTTGGCAGATTGCACGTTGTGGCGCTTCTGAGCTCTTGGGTTTGGGCAGATGGCCGGCGCTCACGGCAGCGACGGCGCCGACCACATATCGGATCCTGGGAGGTGCTGCCGACATTTCGTCTGACATGTTCTGGGCTGACTCGGTGCATATATGTACATATTGCATCATATTTGCAACGGAGAACAATCCTATGGCAACCTGGGGCGCTGCCTAGACACTGATTGTAGAGGAAGCGGTTGCCCTGCAAGGTGATCTGCACAAACTCCTTGCAACGTGTGAGGTACCGTGGGAGCAGTGGGAGGCATTCACGCCGGATGACGCAGGGCAAAGTATGCAGAGGGGCCGCCCCAAGCCTGTGGAAAGCCCGGGAGTTCCAGGAAGTCTGCGTCACAAGCCTCGATTTTGGACTCAGTTCGACGGAAGATCTCCACGGAATGCATCTTTGGCCCTCCTGCAGAAGCAACATAGTCTGCGTATGTCTGCGTGACGCTCGGTATAGCTTCGTGCTCCACGCAATGGAAAGATATGAAAAGCATGCCATCCTCCTGGACGACTCCGGTTTGCACGAAGGCGAGTGAAGTTGTGGAAACAGTGCCGGCCAACAAACGTCTCGAGCAGCCGCCGCACGTTCTGCAGGGCCTCCGACGATGGGCAGCTGCACACGAGCAGCATTACGCACGTCGATTGAAACAGCACGAAAGGCTGTAAACTTGCCCTACTCTGCAGCACTCTGTCCGGATATGCGTGGCCACCTGGTTGGCCAAAGCACTTGCGGGCAGAATGTAGCTGTACTCACGCCAAGAGCAGGAGAACCTGAGCCAGGCACAGCGCGTCTAAAGATATCGTGGACAACAAGAAAATGGACTCCACACCCCACCCACAAAGTATATGAGACTCATACGGAAAAATCCTTGCGGTTGAGAAGTAAACCGTCAACCTGAGCTGTAAAGCGCTTTTCAAGTACCCCACGGGGTTGTTGAGGGCTTAGATGCAAGGGCCTCGACCAGGCAAAGAACGACATCCTCACTCGTCACTGGACGAAAACCGCAGGAATAAAATTGGAGAGCTCGCGGCCTGACTCCTTCCTGGGCACGCACAAGCTCGCACTTCTCAGCTTTACCCAGAAGCTGAATTCCAACTTTCTCACTTTTTCACTTTTCTCAACTGACGATCTAAGAAACATTTGACTGCAGAAATTTCTTGTCTTAAGAAAACAAAGATCAGGTTGGACTGCACTGCACGTAGGTTGTGCGGAGATCGGGGGCGGAGTTGCTTTTTTCGATAAGCATTTAAGATGCATTTAAGTCTCGGCTGCGATCAAGCTTCCGGGCGTCAAAGCTCGCAGGAACGGGACGAACAGCAAAAACCACAACATCGTCTGGCAACAGATCCTTGGGAGAACCAGTTTCGGATGCCGGTTGTTCAGCCACAGCATGACAACGTGCTCTTCCTATTGCGAATGGAAGCCAAAAGCATCTCACCGAGGTTCGTTCAGCTGCGACACAAGCCATGGGTAACATCCTGAGGGTAAATGTGTCTAAACAGCCTCCATGGGCGCTTGGCCCGAGCCCTGGTGTACAGTATGACTCCATGCTTAGACCGCAAGTGTCCTTCTTCATCAGGTCGCCCCACAGCCAAACGAGCCGTGATGACCAATCTGCAAGCATGGACTCCAGCATCTGTGCGGCTGGAGTGCCTGCGCTTCTGTTCCACTCTGCTCAGCACCGCCTATACACTCTCTCCAGGGGTACCAGCAGTCGCAGAACAGGCCCCTCCTCCATTCCAGGTTGCGCTCAAGGCTTTCTGCATCGGATTTGGAAATTACCTGCGAAGACAAGTACCAAGTACCAAACCTGGGCTTTTCAACCTCAACCCAACCTCGGCCCAACACCAACGGCTGGGGGGCAGACTCCGAGTGAGAGTAGGACCTCTCGCAAGAGCCACTCGATGGTCACGACTTGTGTGACATCCTGACGTCAGAGGTGCGCTGCCGATACTACCCGCCACCTTCCTTTTCAGCATGCCGTCCCACCTCGTCATAATGGATCTGAAGGCCATGGTACTTGGATCCAATGTACCCAATCACCAGTGCTACCTACACGGTCCCAGCTTGAACAAGTTCTCTTAGTGCCGCTACAGCACGAGAATCGGAACGATGACCACTTCTCTGCATCTCCAACCTTCGGAGCAGACTAGAATGCGCTCTGCCGGATCGATGCCTTCTCATGCGCTTCGGCAGATCTGGTCGCCTTACGGCGCAGCACAAAATCGCAAGAACGTCTCTCCAGTTGAGTCCGTATGACACGTCATGACTGTACCGGCTCGGCATCTTAACGATGGTTGCGTCAGTCCACGAGCTGTGTGATGCCCACATGATCTCACATTCTTCTGCCGATGCTTCTGCCTCACATTTCACCGCAGCACGAGCCGATCTTCGGCCTGTGCTTTGGCACCTGCCTCACGCAAAGGGCGCTTCGCAGCATTTTGCACAAGCTGCATGGCCTTAACGTCCTGAAAGTTCCTGAAGCCCTTGCCATCCCTACTATCTCCCTGCCGATGGACAGCTGGCCTCGGCAGAGGTGGACGGCCGTCAGTGCCAGCCCCAACACGCGAGGCCCGGCGCCACACCTCGAATTCGACCGCGGCCTTGCGAGCTGATGAATTTGCGAGGCAAAGAATGAGTAGCTTCAGGATGCTCCAGGACTCACGACAAAACGCAAAATCGAGAAATGTCGGAAAGTTGCCAGTGGTCGAGTCCTTAAGGCTGTATCTATCAGAGTAACCTGAAGGCGAAAACCAGAGCCTTCCATGACAGACGCGGACCGGCAGCCACGGTGCTCGGCATGGCTCACTGCTCGCAAGGAAGCATGATCGCATTGTACCGACTAGGTGTTGGTACGAAGTAAACATGCCTGCGGCGCCCTGCAGCCACTGTAGCCGTGAAGGATAGAGGCCTATAGAGCCCCTGATTTCTTCACTGCTATTCACTGCTTCTGCTTTTATTCTAGCGTGCGATGGTGGTTCTGGGGCCTCCTCTGTCTTACTGGCTGGCTGCAGAAAACGTGTAGCTCTCTACCGTTGGAGCACACCAGAGGCTTGCACTGCCAACCCATCTTGACACATGCCACGGCACAATGCCTCGAAGTCTCCCTCCATTTCGGCGGTCATGGAGATCCCCCTGATATGGAGACATTCCACATCTGCCTCATGGAGTCGTACATGAACCATGCACCTGCATCTGCTGCCAGCCTGCCACTATGAGCTTCTGAGTGCTGGGCCACGACCAGGACTGAAGGTGCGAGCTGCCACGCCTGACACCGGAATGGGTGCCGGGGGGTGGGGGGGGAGGTTCCTTTCTGCAACATATAACAGTTTGCCTTCTTTGGCAGTGCTTGAACATGCTTTGTCGCAGTGAGCCCCCACCCCAATCCCTGACAAACTCTCTGTCGCAAAAGGATGCCCGGGGCCTGCTAGATAGCCATTCAGAACGACCCCAAAACACGCACAGGTCGTATTTGCACAAGAAGTAGCACTCAGAGGCACGTGACAGTTCTGCGCTACAAAAAACGGCATGTCATGTCATGGCTCTGAGGCATTGGCGCCATCCACGAACTCCTGCCACTTCTCAGTCTCCTGCATTCCAAACATTTCCAAACACTCAACTCCCATCTTTGATGCAACCACGGTAGGCCGAAATGTATACCATGAGAAAAGAAATCGCACTTTGCGCATGGCATGAGGCATGGAAGCTGCAAGTGGATGCTGACATAGCTATGTCAGCCACCCACGCATTAAAGCCCCCAGCCCTGCGTTTCACATAGGTTCGATTCGGTCATTGAACCGAAACCTTCTAGCAGCAACCTCCAGTGCTTCATAAACAGTTGGGTGGCTCGAGTCGCCATTTGTGCAGCTGCACAGTGCCCTCGATGACCCTGCGGTCCTGAGGAAGGCGTCCCTGGTGCGGGGCATTGGATGCCAGCAGGCCCGTGTTCGAGGCAATCCCCTCCTCACCTGAGTAGAGCTCAGTGCGTGGAGTTTGGGTCGTGGAAGTGACAACGACTGCCCTCATTTGGAGTTGGGGGCTCTCGTGTGCACGAGGAGACTCGGCTAAGGTTGGCTTGCTGCCCAGAAGCGATCCGTCACGAACCAGCGTCCGCCTGTTGTGCTGTAGAGCCTTTGGAAGCTCCGGCAAGTATGTCCAAAGCGCCCAACTTGCTTGGGTCCCATTTGAGCTCATAGCCAGCCAGGTCCTGCGGCCTGTTGCCACAAAGCCTGACAGTGGAGGCAGCGGTGGAGGCAGCGAACAAAAGTCAACACCATATTGCCCCCACCCACCTGATTACGCTCGAGCCGACTCGGCACCTTGACGTACTCACCTGCACAAGGAAGGCATGGCGATATGCGATGCGCAACTATGTGCAACTAGCACCCGATGCCTTGGAGCACGCCCTTTGAAGGAGCCTGGCCAATATCGGGCTCTTCAGGCTCATGCTGCACTCATGGAGATAAAGCATCTCACGCAGTCGAATCCACATGACAGAAATGACCTTCAGCCAAAGGTGACCAGGGGCAAGATCAGCCCGTCGGCGGGCCAAAGCTTCCTGTTCACTTATGGCGTTTCTGGGTCATCGTGGGTTGCTGCTGGGTCATGCCGATGGGGACATCTGCCTGAGAAAGGCTTAGGCTTTGCATGTCGATGACGTTGCGATTGCCATACCAAGTCGATGCGGGCAGAACACAGAACTCGAGAATGCCTACACCCAGCCAAAGATAGACGCTGAAGGGATTTGGTTCACAGGTCTACCCAGCTTTTTTGAATTGCCGTGCCATGAATATCCGCGTCTGAATACTCTCTCCCGTCTTTGCTCTTGTAAGCCCTTGTTAGGCATTTGCAAAGCTGCTTCGCAGAAGCTGCTCCCAACATAACGATGCTCCTTCAGAGGCTGTCGCAGCGGGGCTTGACTCACTACCCGGTCTTCAGGTTGTGAGTTCGTGCTTTTTTAACGACAGGACAGCACACCTTTTCAAAGAGATGACATGTGAGTACAGCGGCATCCCTCAACGGACCGCGCTCAAGAGTGCTGCCCGGCCAATTCATGCACGGGTGAAGACACGGTCTCTCTGCAAGGGAATGGTCTCACTGCTTTCTGAGTTCTCTGCCATGACATGTTTCACTCCTCTAATCATTCTGCATTTGCACGGCGTCCGGGGCACCTTTCCAGAACGCTTTCCTGCAGAATCAGGGCACGCTCACGCCAACGGACAATATCGTTCAATCAAGGCAAACCCACCCACCCCTGTCAAAGATGTCCTTCAGTCAGCACACCCTGCACTTGCATTCGCGGTAGGGGTACCATTCCGTCTAAAGCTGCAAACACAACATCACACAATTCTCGTGCAGCCGGGCATCATGATGAAGCCTCTCTCCATGTTCGGCTTGAAGGTTGTGGGAAGAATAATGTACGGGCCAGCTGTGTTCTCTTTGAGCTCGACATCGACGCAAAGCTGACAGGCTGACAGATCTCTCATCGCTCAAGTGCAAGTGAAACACCCCGAGTTGAGGCGCAATCCTGTTTCTTAGAAATCGAGCTCAGCCAACATGCAGTTGACAAGTAGCTTAGCTGCCGATGTTGGTTTCATGAACGAATGTCACTACCCACCGGGAAGTGCCAGCCTCTCGGTCGTAGGCGTATGTCGAAGTGCCACAAATGCCATTCCCAGAAAGGGAGCGGTCTCGGTAAACCTCGTCAAGCTCAGCTCTTGTGCCCATGGCGGAAACCGGAGCGTATTGTGGAGCTTGTTCAGCTTTTGAACAGCCAGCTTTTGCCGAGCGGCCCTAAACCCGATGGGCACCTCGCCCTCACCCTCGCCCGCGCCGCGGGAGTCTGCTTGTTCCAAGGTGAGAATAAGGTTCACCTTGCCAACCAACCAAATAGCGCAAAGCTAAGGATAATCTTCCGGGCACCAGGATTTAGGACTTTTGACCACCATGACGACTCTTGTTTCTCGATTTGTGAATTCATCGTCATCTCAGCTAATTTAAGGCTTGGGGTTCGGGGAAGGACTGAAAATCAAATCCAACCCTCAATGTCGGGCACTGGCAGCTTACCCCCATCGTAGGAGAGGAAGAGTCAGGAACCCTGTATTACAATTGCCCCGCAACCAGCATCCAACCCATACGAGCCCACGTATCTTCCTTTCAACTATTTCGTCATTTCCCTCTCATCTCTATCGCTCATCTCCATCTGCCTTCTCGCTGTCTCTCTCGGCTCTATTCCCTGCTCTCTGATCCTCTCAGCCATGGCAAAAGACATGCGTACTGCTCTGCAGGCTAGGGCTGACGCCCTTCCTTTGATAGTAAGCTGGATCTTTGGGTTTTTCTCCTCGGCTGCTTGGTTGAACACACTGTCACGAGTCTGCAAACGGGAGAGAGGGGGGGGGGCCCTCACATTGAGGCTTCACCCAACAAGGCCAGGCTTCATAGGTGGGATAGTTTCGGCAGCCACCTGGTGCTTCAACGCTGCACTCCCCGCCATGATGCAGCTTTTGGAGGGGTTTGATGAACAACGGCTCTCCCACTGATCAGCGGGCCGCCTGCGGTTTCTCCTCTCCACTCGGAACAAGCGAAGCAGCGGTTCCAGCCGTCTTCGAAAAGTCGGCAGATATACCTCGGCAAGTGATGTCAGAAGGCCCGGCCCACAAGGTCACGACAGTCCCGACATGTCTCGACCAACTACCTCTTACTTCCCTTTGGCATTGCAGCTATGTGGCACACTTCGGTAGTGATTCACGAAGTCTTCGAAAGCCATCCAGAAAGAGCCATCGTCTGCATTCACGTAGTCCTTACCATGCGAGAAATGGTAGCAGAAGCCAGAACACAGGCCTACTGCGCACAACTTGCAGGCGACAGGCGAGTTTTTTCTTCATCTTCTGCGTCCAACTATCTTTGTCACCATCCTGGGTCCGAACGGTCAGCTGGTGCAGCAACGATGAAGAGCAGGCGAGCAAAAGCATCAGTGGCAAATGCTCTGCGAGTAAGGACCGGGCACTCCACTTTCCCTTCCACTCGGTAGAGCCTTAGCATCCGAACAAAAAGGTGTGTTGCCTCTTTCTTCGCATGCTGGAGATTTGTGTTAGAGAAGAGCTGGGGCTGAGCAGAGCAAGATGCTTGAGCAAGCTGTGCTTCGCCGCTGGCCAGTGTGGCTTGCGGCGTATCACTGGCAAACACCCATGCCCGAAAACAGCATCCATGTCATGCCAATGAAATATAGGCCTTCAGCCAAGCGTGGCTTCTGAACCGTTTTCCCACGGAGCTAAGGAAGTGTGACCTGTCTGCCCAAACTTCGATCTTGAGAAATCAAGAGGGGGGCTGGGGCTGAAACGGAGAAGTTCTTGAATCTCAACAACGCAAGGTAGGTGTTGAATCGCGAGCATGTGGAATCTGAGTGGCACAATGCTTCTGAATCGGGAGAAGTGTCCGAAGCTTTCTCAATGGTGGTAGAATACTCTTTGAGAAAGGGCAAATTCTTGCCGATCGCAAATCCTGAAGTCCTGGAAGTTGTTGAGTTGCTGAGTGGGTGCGAGTTCCTGACTCTCCCAAGCGATTCGATCGACATCTCGGAATCGCAGCTTCTGAATCCAAGGATGTCGTGCCTGCGCGCGCGCGCAGCACCGGAGCACGGAAGCGGTACTTTCCATATTTTCCATGCTTTGACAGCTCGGCCGCTCTCCCACTCTTCTGGAGGCTGCGACCTCTGAGTGGCTTTTCGACGTGGACTGCGCTTCAGAGTTCAGAGTTCAGAGTTCAGAGTTCAGAGTTCAGAGTTCAGAGTTCAGAGTCCGCCGCAAGTGGCGCGGTCTCCAGGTCTCCCTCCCCAGGGCTCCAGCTCCTTTTTTCGGCAGTGGAGCCCTGGCATTGTGACCTGGCCTCCCACACCGGGCCTCTAGGTAGTCAAAGGTGCTGCGAGACGAGGCGAGGCGAGGGGAGACGAGGCGATGCTGCTGAATCAGATGCAAGGAGCCCCAAGGGTTGCGAAGCTGCAACAGCCGGTGCCCCTCAACCTGCCGAGAACTGCAGCAAGGCAGCATGGCCGTTCTCTCACAAGCATCGTTCGTGGCAATTCCCCCTCTGCCTCCTCAACCCGCAGAAGCGAATAGGCGTGGCCCTTCCTTTGCACAGCTGTGACTGCCTACGCTTGAAAAACTACGCTCTGATTCTGCTGGGGTTTCAGTTGGGCTGCGGTATACTCCCCGCAGAACGACCTAGCATGGCTGCGATCTGATGTGTCATTGTTGTTGCTGAGCAGCTCAGCGATCCAAACGTCCAAGGCGACAACGAAACACAAGCATATTGCAAATCGCTCTCTTCAGTTCTTGCCAAGGCTCACAATGCCCATGTCACCTCAGCACGGGCAAGCGGTTCATGTCAAGTTCGCCCCGAGCCCAAGTTGCTCTGGCACATGCTGGGTCTTCAACCCAGCCGTTCTGCGCTGATGTATCTGGGTAACGGGCTGGTTTCAGTGTCTTTTCCGGCTCCGGATCCACAGCCTGTGATCAACAGCTACAGGGCTCTCGCTTGAAGAAATCTTCAAGTGGCTTGTTTAACAACCCAAGTCACCTAGCAAGTGGCCATCCCGGGAGAGGCTGAGGAGTTTGGCCCACATTGTCCCATCATTGATCTCCTGAGGCTCAAGGTATACAGATCAAAAAAACTCGAAAAAACAAACCTAAAACATTGCACGTGGCTGAGTGTAAGGACTTCTCTAGCAGCCCTTGCCACACTGCCGTAAGTCGAGCGTCTTTCCGAGCAGCCTTGTCATGCAGGTGCATCTTCTCTCCGATGCCTCCTGGCGGTGGACAGGAGGCAAACTCCATCAAGCACGAGCTCTCACTGAGCTCTCACGTGCTCCTGTCATATCCACTAAAGCATCATTCACGAACCCGCCCTCGATCGAATCGTAGCTGCCGTGAAGCTTGGCGTAGGCTTTCCTCAGGTGACTCAGTCTGTTGATGCCGTCACGTGCGTAGCGATGTGCGCCAACATTTGGTCTACAGGCTCGAGAACGCAAGAGCTGATTGATGTCTTGTTTAGGTTTAGGCGTCAACGCGCACACCAAACGATGTAGTTGACACTGAGTCGGAAACCGTGCAAACTGCACACGTGCAACACGCACACGTGCAACACGCGGCTACATGCTATTTTCTGTACATACGACTCATGACATTCGACTGCGCCGGTTGGCAAAGAGAGGTGTTGTGATGCTGGCTTTTTGGTTGACCCATTTGACCCAGAGGTTTTGTCTTGCAGGCCTTCGCCACGCTCTGCAGAAGTGCAAGTCGGAACTTGGAAAGCTGTGACCGAGCGCGCAAAGCTTTACTGGAAGAGAGCAGCGAATCAACCGCTTAAAGACCGCTGTGTGCATACCATTGCACACGCGCACTCGTGGAGCACAAGCGGAATCGCTGCAAGTGCGCAGTTTTTGGGTGCCAGCCGGGGATCTCCAAGACCTGCACCCATGCCTCGGCCTTCTTCCCTGAAGAAGCGAAAGCGCACTGCCCGTACTTCGTTGGGAAGAAGTCATCGATCGTGACATCCTGAGGGAGGCATGGAGGCATGGTGGTTGGGACAGGCACAATCTCACTCGCTCCTGAAAGACGCCGTTCTTGTAGAAGCGTACGACGTAGAGGCCCTTTGGGGCATCAGAGTACGTAAACCTGAGTTCTGCCGGCCTACCAAGCCTTCAAGCATCGGCATTGGGCATAGTGCCCACGCCGACTCGGTCACCTCGAACACTTAAACACTTCATGTCTGAAGTCAGGCTTGTAGCAGTTTCTCCACCAGCTTGCCGTGGGCAGACAGGCAAGCGATGGCGGAGAGAAACCAGCAGTCACCCAGCTCTCCTGCGGTCTTGTCAATTCATGCCCCGTGCTTCGAAGGAAGCTCTAGACCTCTTTGGGGCCGCTGAGTCCTTGATGTATGTCATTGGGGTTGAAGCCATCAAAGAAGAGCTCAACCTGGCAGCCATGTTGAGTGCTGCTGGTGCGGAGCATGTAGAACACGCGTGGGTCGCTACAGGTTCGAGATTCTAGATGCAGCCCAGTCGCGCCGCCATCACCCACGATCTGCCGTAGCCGCTGGATCCTGTGCTGTGAAATTTAAAAGATGCTTGGAATAAACACCCAGGGAAAGGCACAGCCACATAGCTTCCTTTCCTGATGTCGACGTGCCACTCAATTACGATACATTAGGAGACTACGCTGCAACTATCTATATGGATTTCAAAACTAGGAAGCACTACGAAGCACCTGGACATGCCTATCTGAGTGCTCGGATACCCCAAGTGTGCGAACTCCACGAGCCTGCCACGCAACTGGCCAGAACATGAGCGTGCCGGTGGTCCTGTAGCTGCTGCTTGTGGCCTTTTCCCCCATCGCCTCGGCATCGAGAAGTTGATGCCTTGACCCTCTTTTCCGAACAGCAGAGGGTCAAGGTGATCAATGCCGTCAAGAGGGGCATGCGATTTAGCGTCCCCCCTTTGCCGACGCACTCGAGTTCGTCGTACCCAGGCTGAGGGGTGGACCTCAGGGGTGAAGACGTTATCTGTGAACTCGCCCGTCCTCTCTGCGACAGACCTGAAGAGTTGCTTCTACAAAGGCCATCTGCTACAGCTTTGTTTCAGCCATCGTCCGGAGAACCCTGAGTGGGCGCACTTGAGCAAGGTGAGGTTGGCCTCCACGACTTTCGGTTCTCCCGCCCTGTACCGCACAGAACACCCTCCGCTCACAACAAGAGGCTTAGATTAGCCTGACTGAGCTTCTATTCTGAACCCTCGACTGCTCAAAAGTGCTCAGGCTGCACCTCTTGAGACGGTCCTCTTCCTCTTTCTTCCGCCGCTCCTGGAGAAAGGCGCATTCCCAACCCGGAGATGCAAAATAGGAGTGAAAAGGCTTCACGATTGTGCCTCCTCGGCCTTCTTCCGCCGCTCCTTGGCCTCTTCTTGAAGCTTCCTGGGATGAAGCTCAAGAGGCGGTTGTGATAGGCATGCATGTTAAGTTAAGCACTTCATGTCACTCAAGTTACAGCCACTTCAGCTATAAACGAAGAGTTAAACATGCCCCGCTGTGGGACCCCAGACAGGCGTTTTGGCTCTCACACTTCTTGTTGAAAATACCTCTTGGTTGTAGATTGTAGACATCATCCTGCAAGCCCACATCAATGAGCACCCCGGAACGATGTCGACAGCACGCCCGGCAACTATGCGCGACATGCAGTGACGCGTCATGTAGGGGGGATAAAATAATGAAGTGCCTCATTCCCTCATTCCGTACTAAGAACCACTGGTTAAATGCCTGCCATGCGTCTTCAGTCGCTCAGCCTCTTTTCGTTTTCTCTCTGCCTCCTCCTCGGCTGACAGAGTTCCTTGAATCTGGGTGATCTTGTCCCTCGCCTGCTGGATCAGGTCACCTTGTGTGGAGAGAGCTGCGAGTGACAGCTCCGCGAAGAACAGACCAAGCCTAGCTCTCCCCATATGTCACCTCACTCCTGTGTATTGGCCACCGCGATGGATGCAGGACTATCTTTGCCCCTTTTTTACACGAAGCTGCCAATTAACAATGGGTCAAAAACAGTCGTTGTCTTGTTGATGCTCTTGCAGGCATGACGAACATGCTCCACGGCGCCGATCTGAAACTCTCGAAACACATGTTGAAGTTGAGATGAGCTGCTCTGGAGACACGCTGCCTGAGCGTGCTCCACGGCATTTTGCAGCTCTTGCACCGCTGCCTCGCTGGCAGCCTTGGCGGTCGGATGCTGTCAGGCGCTCAGCTCATTGTGCCTTTCAGCAAAGGAATGGCCCAAATGGCCACACATGGCATCACGTTCTGCGTATGTCGGCATGGCTCATTGTGGGCCGACTATTGACCGAGCGACATCGATGGCCAGTGCCTTCTGCAACAGCTCCTCCGCGCTGCGCAGCTCCTGGTGAAATCTGGTGAAGCGAGGGCCCGGTCCCCTTCTGAGTCCCCTTCTGAGTCCCAAGGCGCAGCTTCAGAAAACTCACGCGGCCGCTCCTGCACTCGCTGGGTTGCTTCCGCCACTACGGCATCTGCCTCTTGCACACCAGCGCCCAGTGCGGCGTTCAGGGCAGCCTGCAAGAATGCTATGCAGTTCGGTAGCTTGCACAGCTCGGCTGTCTAACAGACATCGGAAACCAAAAGTGGTGTCCAGCTTGTCAGCAAGGTCTATGGGCCTGGATCTTGCTGATTTCGCCGCACTGGTCTTTCAGAAGCGTCTCCACCGCCTGTGGTGTTGATTGGTGGTGCCAGCACCAAACACGGTTACACACGTTGCAACACAAGTGATCACAGACTGACATGAAAAGGGTGCTAAACAGGGCTACAGAATTTGGCTCCAGCTTCTTCATCGTTCCGAGCGAGGCGCCTGCCGAGCATCTGCTTTGCGGCGCCGCTGCTCCTCGAGTCGGCGGCGCGCGGCCTCCTCCTGTTTCCGTGGGGGGGAGGGGGGGAGGGGGGGGGGCGGCAACGCGCAATAAGTTCGCGATACAGATGTAGATGCATATGGGGCAGGGCTTTATGGGCTTTATGGCTGGTATCCTTCACAAGGACTTCTCACCCTTCCGCCCCCTTGAACAGCCCGTGGACACCCTGTCGTTATGCCCCGATAAAACTGGGCGCCCTAGCTTCTGCTTCACACCCAGTGAGCACTCCGAAGTGCCAGCAGACGTTTTGGTAGGGCCAACAGGCAAACCAAGTGGCACCCAGTAATCACGCCCTGCGACGATTTCCTATGTGAAGTATGGGTCCACGTGCTGCCCCCTATGCACGCCATTTTAGGGAGGGGGAGGCTGATGGGGGGGAAGCGCCCTATGGACCTCGTCTGGGCCCCAAGGCCTATAGTCATTTCCTCGCCTCCTCCTTCCGCCGCTCGTCTTCAAGGCGCTGCTTCTCAACCTCCGCCGCCTTCCAGGCCTTGCCAAAAAACTCACAACAGCATAATGACATGACAACCTGCATCCAGAGCACAGGCTGACATAAGCGGCATCTTGAGAGGGTACGTCCCGTGTCATCCGCATCTTGAGGTTCCGGGTGGACAAGGCTGAGTCCACTTACTACACACACATTTGCAGATACCTATCAAGCATACATTGTGGATACACAATGTACGTAAGCCAGTTGCCTGCCACGCTGTTTCGAGCTCTTTGCGGTCTGCTTCCGGCAACCTGAGTCGAGACGGAGTAAGCGTTAGCTCTTCGCATGCAAAGCATTCTGCAATTGCAAGGATATGGCAAAGTGGGTCTGTGCCAGAGTCTGTGCAGGTAGCTGCTTGAAGTCGTCCATCGTCAGCCCTTTGGCCTCGGCACCTGCGTCTGAACGTACGCACATGGAACTCTCAAATGGTGGAATGAGTGTGAAGTGGCCTGTGCTCTGAAGGAAGGCCCGGAACTCGGACTCCTTCGCCCACATCTGCTGCATCTGCGCCGAGAGCAAACAAAGCCTGACGAGGCTTCCCTCTCTGGGGAAAAAAAGCTCTGGGATACCTTGAACTTCATGATTTCATGGTCTTTCATCTCGCGTCATGGCCGAGGAACTGCAGTCGCGCATCGAAGCGTTGCTGATTGCAAACCGCCGAGAGCCACTTCCTAGCATACTTGCACAGAAGGCATGCTCCAGGCGAACTAGGCTTTCTTTCTGGAAAACAGCCTCCTGTCCTTGCGCTCGTCAATAGCTTCTGGTGCTCTTCCCGCGGATGTTCAGGTGAGTTGTTAGCCACACAGCCTTGTCCTGGCAGAAGTCTCTTTCATGTCCTACTTGTTCTGAACTTGTCATGTTCACACTTGCAAGGATCAAACTTGGTGATGTCCTTTGCGGATCAGGGCGACACCGGCATTCAGCATCTGCCAGAACGCTATCAGCGGGAAGGTGTGGAAACGCCCGGCGCAGGCAACCTTCACCTTCAATTCAGCAGCGTCGCATTGGAAGATGTGGGGAGCTTTGCCAGGCATCCTTCCCTATGCAGTTTCATTGCCTTGCCTGGGATTGGAACTCGTCCATGCTGCACTTGCAACCGGTAGCGAACTCTTGAACTGCTTGTACCAGCTTCTGCTGGGTGTCCTACAAAGGGAGCGCCTATTCGACCAGTCGGTGGGGTTGTGTCAGTCAGGGTCTCGCGAATTGAATTTGACGAAAAGGTCGCCGACAATCCAAAAACATCCTAAAGCTCCAGAGGCTTCCTACAGCGAGGCACTTGCCTGGAGCAGAGCTGCTGTCATGCTGCATGCTGTCAGAAGGTGGACTTAGACGTCTACTTTTCAGCCACGGCAGCCAACACAAAATACGCACGTCCAACTTGAGGGATGGAAGCTCCTTCTACAAGAGCTCCGACGGACTGCAACTAACTATCCGAAATGTTTCAGGAGCCTGTCCTGGAAGAAATGGGGGACCACGGGTCGGGAGGGTCTTCAGGCAAACTTTTGCGAGATAAATAGCTGTTGAGAAGGAAATCGTTGGCCGCAAGAAAGCAAAAACTACCAAAGCATACAAGCCAGCACCAACACTTCCAGCATGACCATCCCATCGAATGGCTTGGTTGCGCTTTGATGCTCGACCATCCACCATGTTTCTGGAAACTGACGGAGGGGCTGGCAAAACTGATGCCTGGATGTGGGAATCTTCTAGAAACCTGGTCAAGCTGGGCCCTTCTATGTAGGAGGATCTCCCCGAAACAAGGGGACATTGCCTTGGCAGTGGCATGGATGCTTTGAGCGCGAAAGAACAGCCGTGGATTTATTTCACGGAGGTTCGAAGTTTCTTGGCCAGGAGTTCTCCCTCCCAAGAGCATGAGCAGTTAATACCATGTCCACCAAGGCTGGAGCACGCACCTCTCTGCGAGGCACACGCTCATGTAATGGTCGCCGGTCGCACTACGAACGCCCCGCTAAAATCGCCAAAGCTTTCACGAGCTAGTCGCCATGGAGAATTGCTGGCCCAAAGTCCGCATGGGTGTTGTTGCAGGTTTCGGGGCCTCCAAGACTACAGGACCAATCAGCCCTCTGAACAGCCTTCTGGCCCATTGCAGCAGTTGGGTCCAGAGGAAACACACGGGGCCCTACAAAACCGCGCTCGCACACACGCAACGCTGAATTCTCGTCACTGAGATCAGATTGCGCATCGACCTCCCATCGAAAGCTTGCTACAGATTGTCGGAGACTTTCGGACTCCCTTCCTTGTCGCTCTCACTGCCTGCGTCAGCGACTTTGGCGCCGCCGAGACCTTGCTCACCCGCAAGTGAGGAATAAGAGGGATCAGCAAAAGTCTCAGATCCACCCGGCTAGGCAAGTGCGAACTTGTTCCGAGATCTGCAGAGGCACTAAAAAACTCATCACTCAGTCCCTCTGTCAATGAAGCTCCCCAGGGCCGCCTCCATCCAGTGCCTCTTTAGCTGCCGCCAGTAGTTGTGCCTGAGGCAGCCTGGGCAGATTGCATCAAACTTTGGGCTGTTCGGGCAGCAATTCAGGGGTGCTTCTTCTAAGAGACTAACGCCTTGATGCAAAAAAAGTGCCCGTACACCTGGCAAGCCCTTTGCCAATCTTTGCTGGCCCGAGGCTGCTCCAGGACCATTGCCCGGCGTAAGCCACCCCGTGCCACGAGATGGGCCCACCTGAGTGTGGTGGGACTTTGAAGAATTTGGGCTTTTAGGTTCAACTCCAGGAGGCTTAAAGTCCGAGTGGGCGTTCTTCATTTTACAGCATTCAAGCCAACGGTCAGAGTCGGGAATGCTGCCATAATCCGCCGGATGCTACAAGAAAGCAGAAAGCTCCCCCCCCCCCCCCCAATTAAGTGGCCGAGTCTCAGGATCAGGATCCCCATAAGGGCAAGGACTCCCACGACCATACCTCAGCAAACATCAGCCAGTATGTTATTATTATTCTCTCTCTTCTTCTTCTTCTTCTTCTTCTTCTTCTTCTTCTTCTTCTTCTTCTTCTTCTTCTTCTTCTTCTTCTTCTTCTTCTTCTTCTTCTTCTTCTACAGGGCTTGAGGGACCCGGGGGCCCCCCGCGCGCACAGGCGCGCCCAGTACCTCAGTTCGTCCCGTGGGTGAGATTGTTGGGCCGACGTTCACCGCTCTTCTTCTTCTTCTTCTTCTTCTTCTTCTTCTTCTTCTTCTTCTTCTTCTTCTTCTTCTTCTTCTTCTTCTTCTGCTGCCCAGCGATCACCGCTCTCTTCTTCTTCTTCTTCTACAGGGCTTGAGGGACCCGGGGGCCCCCCGCGCGCACAGGCGCGCCCAGAACCTCAGTCCGTCCTTTACGTGAGACAAGGGCTAGCGTTCACCGCCCCGACATCCCCCTCCAGCACCTTAGAGGTCCTTAGTGTCCTTAGTACTCCCTGCCCTGATGCCCCAAGGGATGTCTGCGGTGCGCTACCTGCCGGCTCGCGGTCTTCGCGGTGCACTGCTTCCCCCACTAAGGGATTCTCGGGCCGCCTTGGGTCCAAGTGTCAAAATTCCCCCGAGGGCTGATGCGTTAGTGTGCGAACACGACGACTCCCTCCGAAAGTAGTAGGGGGGGCCTATAGGGGTATGTTCATGCTGCATCTTGTTTCCTGGGGTTCTTGTGCTGGGCTCGCCAAGGGGGGCCGCAAGTTTGTGGATCTAATCTACTTGGTCCCTCCCCTCCCCCAACCAAAAACTGCTCTCTCTCTCTCTCTCTCTCTCTCTCTCTGTGCCGTTGCATCCAGATGGTCTAGCAGCGCCAGGCAACGCATGAGGCTTGGCCTTTCATACTGTCACATTCTTCTTTTAATTACCATCTCATTAGTTTGCATATACTGTTAAATTAGTTTCGGAAACGGTAATGTTAATACATTATTCCGTTACTATATTATGTTGTAGTATATTGTACTACACTATAGTATATTCTATTACATTTCATTATCTTAAAATTTGCTGTACTATGTTCTAATGTGTCATATTGCATTACTAATATGTTGAGATGTGAATATGTTCATAGGTCACAAAAACTTGCTTTAGTGTTTAAAATACTAGGCTATGTTTTGATACTCTGTTGCTGTATATATGTATAGACGATATTGCTATAGCTTTATATTGCTACATTATTGTTGTGTTGCTGTATTGTTGTATTGTTGCGTTGTTTATACTAATACCGTGTTTTTGTTGTACAGCACCCTGTGTGTTACCGTGGCTTCTTGAATCACTTGAATCACTTGAGACTTGAGTCAGGTCGAGTCAAGCGGCCCACGGCCGGATAGTCATCTAACACCACGGCTGCCACCAGTCCCCAAAGTGATATAACACCCAGCGCCTTGTGCAGATGCAAATTCTGCTTTCGGCAGGGGGTTTGGGCTTGGGGTGTTGTCTTCGAGTGCCGCCATCCAAACTTATCGAGCCTCCATTGCCGCAGCTATGTCTGTATGGGCCCGTGCCAGTTCCCCACCACGGAAGCGGAACATGGGGAACACGAAGTTGGAGGACCTCGAATTCCAGGTACGGAATACAGCCATCTACAAGAGGGGCACTCTATAGCTCTCTGTAGCACCCATGGCACTCCGCCACAGCTTTGCAAAAACTTTGGGGCGCACAGACGCTTTGGGGGGCGGACTCCACACGAAGCTGCTCCAAAGCTGTTCGGCTCTGTGCTGCAGAAACCTGCGAGTGCGAACGACCAAAACCAAAAGTCTCTTCGGAACCCCAAAGGACACTATTGAAAAGCCGGAGCCTCCGACGCAGCGTCACCCACCAACAGCAGCGTGACCCCCACGCAAACCTCAGCACCGCGTAGCACCGCAAGAAGACGCTCCGAAGCTTTTGATTGCATCTTGCCGAATCTTCGACTCTTCCTGCATCCAACCGGCAGCGGTGAAGCCTCCAAAGATGCTCTGAAAGTAGAAGGTGATGCCAACGGCAGAGCCCAGGACACACAAGGCCACAGCGACCGCGCTGGCCAGCTTGACCTCTCCACATTTCAAGCATTTCAAGCATTTCAAGCATTTCAGGCCCACTTGTCAGGTCCACTCTTATCCATCTTCAGTGCTCCTGCAGACAGGCCTTGTCGCTGATGTAGCGGTTGTTGCGCAGCCACTTCCAAAAGGCCAGGCCGAGGACGGCCGCCATTAGCAGTAAGCAGAAACCTCCAAGAGCCGCAGCCCAGTTCAGCAGGGCCAGCGCCCCCAGGAAGGCCAGGTACACGACCTCGAGCCCAGAATCACAGAATCTCCAGAAGGCGACAACTCCCACGTTACGCCCAGCAACTCTCACAAAGTCCCACATATCTCCACATCTAAGCGAGAGGCTGTGCTGAAGATGATCCCGTTCCGCACGAATCGAAATGTTGAAGCATCCTCCAGGGACAACTTGTGTCATGCATGACATCCCCGGAATTCTGACTAGCTTCACCGTGCTGCGTGGCGTGTGGCATATGTGGCATGCGGCGTCAACGCAAATGGAACCCCCAAGAGCCTTCGGACTCCATTTGGCATCGCGCAGAACCTGCACACCCCCAGTGCACTTGCGACCGTAGCCGGCTACGCAACGGCATCCAAGGTTCACTTGGATTTGCCTGCAGAGCAAGGAATGCCACGTACACTGCAGGATAGAGGACAACCACGCAGAGCAATACCGCGGCAAAGTCGTCCACCTCAGGGACACAGCGCAAAACACCGGAATTTGACTGCTGCGGGCGTTGTTTGCCCTGGCCTTCATTTCCCGGTGAAAGTACCACACGCCGCCAGCCCAAGCCAGGAGGATGAGCGCCTGTGATCGCCACGTAAGGCTGGCACATTCACGTACATTCTTGCGAGATTTGCGGTGTCTCAGCCTAGAGCAGCAAAGGCACAATGAATCCCCAAAAAATAGGCTGCTCTGGGTAGAGCTGGAAGGTGCCGAACCACATCCTTCGATTTCCACATCTCGAGATCTCATCTAGAGCGCTTCGGGCGGTGCTATTGTCACTTGCTCTGCTGTGCCAAGACGCCGGTTGCTCATGAAGGTCAGCGCCAAGACGAGGACTCCGGCACTGATGCTCCAGCCCACCCATCGGAAGCGGACTTCTGATACCAAGTGCAAGACCACCCCCTCAGGCTTTGCATTGCTCCAGCAAGTTCAGCACAGACTCACAGAGTCACAGAGCAGGCTCAGAAATGGTCGGAGCACATGCTTAGACTAGAACGTATGCGATGTCAAGGAGGAGAGCCATCAGCCATATCCGCACCGTCCACGGCACCCTTGCTAAGCCAGTAGGCCGGTCCTTCCGAAAGTTCAGCACACATGTTACACAAACATACACAACATGACACAGTCCAAAGATCGCGGCAAATTTTAGGGTCAAGCAGTACCATAATGGTCCATCCTCGGCCGCAACTGAGCTCCCACCGGCCCCCACAGGGTCAGCGGGGTCAGCTCCACCGTCACTCGCAGGGTCACCTGCGACCAGCTGCACTGGCAGGGCACGTCCCAGGGAAGTGGGGGGCTGGAAGGAGACTCAACTTCGCAGCCCATACCGTACCTCTTAAATTCTCTGAGAAATCTTAAACCTTCTCAGCCCCGGAAAAGAAACGGAGAATAAACTGGCCTCCCGTGCCCGTGGAGCTCGGCTCCGGTGCAATCTTGGCTGTGGCGCTGGGGGGCCTTAGCCATGCGCGTGCATGTTCGGGACCTTGAAGTCCAGTTTGTCATCACTTGAGAAGAAAGATCACCCTGCTGAAGACTCGATAAGGGCACCTTCATACTTAAGCTTTGCAGGACTGCCTCAATTCAGCCAGGCGCTTGGTTTTTGTATCTTGGCCTACTACTGCCTCGGCATGCCTCAGCCCAAAGGCCCCTAAGTTAGAGAACTTGAGAGAGATCACACGGATTCCTTCGGAATGCAAGGGTTTGCAAGCGGTTTCGCCAAGTTTGAGACGACACGTGGACCGAATCGAATCGAGCGGCCGCGGCGTTAAGTGGAAGTCATCGACCACCCAACGATGATGTGCGGAGAAGAACAGGCCCAGGATCAAGGGCAGGAAGCTGACATGAACCAGCACCTCGGGAAAATCATGAAATCAATTGCGCCGTAACTGCACAACAGGCTGGCATCTCATTCTCGAGGCAATGTGTGCAGCTGGATCACTGCCCAACTGTCTGCGACCCAGGATGTGTATGCGCCAACTCCCACCCAGCAGAAATACGGAACCACCTGGGCATACATAGTTGAAAGCTAGTTCAAACAGAGTGCCACACTATTCGAGGGTTCTCTTCAGCATCTGCCGGCTCAATTCAGCTGCGTAGCAATGCCCAGGGGGGCTGTCTCCAGCAACGGCCCCTTCTTCCCGAAGGCCTGCGCACCGGCTCACACTGACTCACACTTTCACACAGTTCAATGGTTTCGGATCGTTGCAGTGCCTGGAGCTGCGACCGACGATGGCCGTACAACGACACGGCATATACGAAACCGGCGCCCAATGCCACACCTCCAAGGGGTGAATGTTGAGCAACAGCCAGAAACACTGCGAACGGCTCCCGCTGAGCTGCGACTGCACGGTGGCGTTTGGGGCCTGCGTAGTACTGCTGAGGACGCGCATCGCAAGTGTTGCACCAGGAAATGGACGGTAGCTCGAATAGGAAGGTCACGAGAGCCACTTCCCCAGCAAAAAGGCACATGATGCCCAGCATCACCACCCTGACAAGCATCAGGGTCTCATCCCAGACCCTCCCCATTACCTATTATGTTGCGAAACAGAGCGGACATGGGACAACGCCAGGCAACGCAGGAAGCCACTTCTTCCACTTCGCAATGGTTGCCGGAGCTGCCAGACTTACCTCAACTTACTCTCAATTTTTGCCACCAGTCGCCCAAGGCGACCACAAAAATGCACATAAAATTGATTCCAGCACGTCCCGCTGATTCCCGCTGTCTACTCATTCAGGCCACAGGGGTGGCATGGTCACCGTGGTCACCTGATCCTGATCCTGCGAAGGTGCGAGCCCAGGAGCGGAACAAGTTGAGCTGTTCTTGGCAAGCATGGTGTGTGTGTGGGATGGTCGCTGACGGGTCCTCCTGCAATCCTGGCCTGCAATGTCTCTAGCATGTCTGCCGCCGCACGTTGCCGCCGCACCTGCCCCGGGGCCCAGATTACAGTGCCATCATACATTGTCTTACACATCTTACACCATCTTACACCGTATCTTGCCAAAACATGGGCTGCAGCATTTGACCAGCTTCTTGCGCAATTACGCATGGATCCTGTAACTGCGAATTAGAGGCAGTTCACGTAGAAGTACTATTCTAGCAGAGGCAACTATTGACGGCTTTGTACTGACAGGTTCACATAAACTAAAAGTGGCCACCGGCACTCGCCATCACGCTGCGGACGCCTGAGGGCTGTCTGGCGCAGGGATCATGGCATTCACCACCATATGGGCCAACAGAGTGACCATGGCCAGGAATACGCCGGAATGGCCTTCAGCTCTCGCACTGCTGGATGGATGGGAAGAGAGCGGTGCCCAACTAAAAACAATACAAAAACCTTTCTTAGGACAAGCTGCCCATAAGCCAGTAGTCCTCTCCCCATGCACAGGCGGCAACTCGTGCCGCCACCATGAGAAGAGCTGTCTGCGCGCCGCCGGTCACAAGTCCCAAGGCCCACACGAGCCAAACCTCAGCTGGGCTTCAACCGCTAATCAAAACGTCCAAAACACGGTCGGAAGCTGGGGAAATTTTCTGACTAGTAGCAATGGCATCGAGATTGACCACCGCTGCCACCAGAACGAAACCCACATCGCGAGCCTCCGGGTTTGTTGCCAGCACGCGCACCGCAAGGCCTCGCCCAGCAAAGTCGGAGCGCTCGACTGCCCACATCTGCACTGAGTCTACACCAAAAAGTCTCGAAACGCATATAAACGCATAAGGCCATGGCCATATGCCCCCAGCACTCCCAGCTCCAAGACGACAAGGCTGGCAATCAGCCCAATCCGCTTCGGCTTGCTTCGTGGCAGCGCAGTCCTTGAAACTCTCAGAACATGCCCCCGCTTATGGCTCCCAAGAGGCCGCCCACGGCGTGCCACTCGTGTATCCATATTTCATCAAGGTGACGCTGGTCCGGGCTGCGCCTGGCACTGCGGGACGACACCGCTCTCGGTTATCTAGTTACAGTGCCTGACCCTGGCAACAGCGTCTGCAGGAAGCATCTTACAAGCTTGTCATGGCACAGCAGGCCATAGACACGCCTAACCCTTCATAGCGTGCTAGACTTTAGACACTTCGCGGCCTGGTCTCCAGACAGAAAGGCGAGCATCGACCCACTCCCTTGCCAGCTGCCGCAGAGAAAGGCCAGCGCGATACTGGGTACTGCACTAACACAGAGCATTACGACCTCAGCTGAAGGAAGCAGGCGCTGCGGCCACAACAACGACGACCACCACAACAAGAACCACAACCACAAGTAAAACAGCAACCACAGCCACAGCGCCCTCATGATAGTAATTGTATTCACGGGCCCATGATCTTTCTCATTGATTTTTTGGCCCGATCATCAGTTGAAATATCGTGTCATTTAAGAGTCATTTCAAGCCACAGCCTTTAGGGCCTTTGCAAAATTAATGCCCCAAAAAACAATTATAAGTGGGGCTGGAATGAATCAAGTAAACTGTAAGCCAAAGACCCCATGTCTTACTGTATTTGAGGGGGACCCTCTATGAACTACTGTCGCTGTATTTGAGGGGGTCTCTGGTAGTAGCGTCTTTCGCCACATGTGGCCATTCCCTTAAGGCCTTAAGGCCTTAAGGCATCTGAGGATGTTGGCTGCAGCTGAGCCAGTAAGCTGCGCAGCAACCTGTCTCCACTGTAGCCAAGCAACAGAGACTGAAGTGAAACTGAAGGGATCCAGCCACCACACGAACTGGCAGAAGTAGCAGCCCAGGCAAAGAAGCGCCATCCTGTTGCACACCCGAATCCCGTGCCCTAAAGCAGACTCAACAACCCACCCCCCACGCACCCTCAATCCCAAAACCCGAAAACTGAGAACCGGAACATCCCTGAATCCCTGAACATCCCCGAGCGTCCCGCTGAAGATCCCACCCCCTGAACCCTGAGCCGATGGTCAGGGAGAAGAGGAAGGCCAGCCAGCTGAAGTGGAAAGAGTCGGTGGCCGCCCTCCCCAGACCCAGGCTGCCAAAATAGATGGTAACGGCCTCAGCGAAGTGCAACTTTGCAGCTGCTTTCACACAGGCATGGGGGGCATCTACACTCGCAGACTCGCCACATCTAGCTGCACTACCAAATCGAGCTCATCCAGAGCTCTGAGGGCACAACACACACAAATGCAATTTGTTGCATATGGCAACGTAGGCATGAACACACACAAATATATATATATATGTATGTATATATATATATAGATTCCCAACTGTTCTGCTGATGTCCAACCCTGGGTGAACAATAGCGTCCGAAGCGGCTACCAAGCTTCCCAGTGATGATAGCCGCCATGAGTCGGTGCTCACCTGGAGGCTCTACCAAGATCAAACCTGGTCAGTCACAATTAAATCTTCATCTCACCCTTTGCAGGGTTCGGTGTGGTATAGCCTTCCATTCAGGTGCCTAGGGGACACGACAATGCAGTGAGAAACACGTCGCGGCCGACATTGGCTTGGTTTGGGATTCTCTGTGACTTGGCTGGCTTCCGAAGGCCTTCGTCCATGGAGCGTTAAGTTCGATAAGCAATGCAAGCGTGCAAAAGCGCATGAAAAGTAGAGGGCGACCCACTCCTACGGTGAAGACAGTGCAAGGAACTGGCCTGCTGGGCTGCAAGAGCCACACAGGCAACAGGAAGGAAGAGGCAGGCAATCATCAGCCACCTTGGAAAAGGGAAGATCAAAAGAAATTGAGCCCGAGCCACACTGCATTCTGACTACGTTGCTTACATTGCAGTTGGCACAAAAAGCAATGTCTTGACAAGCCATGCCAAGATGCTGGACGAAGGGGGCCACTCGTGAGAAGGTGGCCTGAGGTTGCCAAGGAGACACTTGGAATGACTTGGACGGCATCTCTTGCATCAGATGTTTGCAGAAGTTTCAAGCTCACCACCACACAACATCTCAACACCTTACAAATTTTGCACGGCCCCCAGCGAAGGGCATGACATTGAGGTCCAGGGCACATCGCTCGTCTTTCGGGAGAGATGTGCTGCCATCAGCAAGTCGAGCCGATAGGAAGCTGGCGCGAGGAGCAAATGCACCCCCACGCAAAGCCTTGGCCGCAGCTTGGCTTGGATCACGCGCGAAATTTCAAGCTATCCCAGGAATCCCAAGTTGGGAGAGAATGCGCTGCCGTGGCGCACCACGTTCCTGAAACTCTGCGATGAAGGGTGGGGAGGTTCAGGCTGGATTACACAGTTTGCGGGTATGTCTGATGAGCCGCAGCAAGCCCGCGCCGGCGAAGGAGAGAGCCATGATCCTCAGGCTCCGGCGAACAAGCAGGAAAAATTATCCTTCAGGTTCTTATATGGTTCTTGTGAGCTTCTGCACATGTCGGCGCTATGGCACTATACTCAGCTGCTCCTCCTAGTCCTAGTCATAGTCTTTCCTGGCTTATGTTCACATGTGAAGATAGCAGTGGACATCAGCACGCCACAGAAACGGAAGGTCCCCAAGAAAAGCCAAAGCTCTCATTCGTCGTGATCTCCCGCGAACTTGTGGTCCCTGTGGTGTTGGTTCCATTGGTGCTGTTCGTGTCATTGGTGTCCACATTGGTTGTCGTGGACATGGCCATGGAGGTGGTGGAGGTGGTGGAGGTAGTGGTGGTGGTGGTGGTGGTGGTGGAGGAGTTGGTGGCGTTATCAGCTGCTAACCAGCGCTCCTGACAGCAAACGTGGACACTTGAAGTACCGCGCTATGGAACAACAGCCAGGCGACCGCCTGCAGACCGGTGCTAAGGTGCTATATGTGCTGTACGGTACCACAGGTCACACATAGTTGCGCAGTCGAATACATACACTGGAATTCAATCTGAATGCAGACACGCGAATCCATACAGCACAGTGCAACGTGCATCTTTCCACCACGTAATGGCAAGCAACCCGCTTGCATCATCTATGTCCATTGCTGAGTCATTACTGCAACCTATCGCGTCCTACCTCCTATGTGCATCTATGTGCTGAAGAGCCCCGGAGCCTGGGCTGACGCTCGAAGATAAGGCGTTCCCGCCGCGCCTGCCGGGGGTAGACAGGGCTCTTTGTGCAAACTCTAAATTCTCGTGTAAAACCCGTGGAAAAATCGAGACGACACGAAAATGTGACCTCTTGTGTGCGCTGCGTGTTGCCGCACAAGGCTCACGCAAGTCAACATGCTAGTGCAGAGACTGTTGGCTTCGATACCGCCAAGCGAGCCCAGCGCCAATGTCCTCGGCCTGCATGTGCTAATGTCAGCGCGGCCGCCAGAGTGAGCCAGCGTATCATGGCTGACATTTGTCAGGACAGAGGGGGTGGTGGGGAGATTGATGGGCAGGTCAGTGTCGCTCTTTTGCCATGTTCTTCTGGGAAACTGTTGCTGAAACTTTTGTGCCGATGTCCGAGACCTCTTGATTCGTCCATGGTACTTGAGGTGGCGAGCGCACATGACAAAAAAGGCTTCCCCCTGAAACCACCCAAAAGCTCATCACCACGTACGTCCGTTGCTCCACATACTGGACACATTGTAGACCCGCGCCACTAAACTGTCCCACTCGCGCGGCCCACCTGTTCAGCCAGTGCTGCCAGACCCTCCTCACGCTGATCGGTGACTCCTTGGCACAGGGAGCCATGTTCTGAGATTCAGCTGAAGCCAGTGTCAGCTTTCCAGAGAGGCAAACCCAACGCAGACTTTGCTCCTTGATCAAAAATTAAGCTTGGCCCGGCACGCAAATCCTTGTGCAGGCGCCATGTTGACCCGTCTGCATACTGCCAAGCCTGCATAATGTGAAGCAGCGTGTTCGACTTCACGGCACCAGACGACATATAGGCCTACGATGTCCTACGAACAGTTTGCCAAGCAAACAAAGTAAAGATTTCTGGTGCTGCCTCCATTTCGTGGGGTGGTCGGCCCTGGTGCGCGTTGGAACATTGCAGGACGCCCAAGTTCTTCTGGACCTGTGCACATCGAAGTGCAAGCATATGCTAAGCACGGCAGTGCAAACATCTCAGTGGCAGACATCGGCTTCTTTGGTTGCCTTGGCTGATGCCGGGTTGTTTGTGGCCTTTCTAATAGGAAATTGAAATCGAAATCCAGACTTATGTCCTGTGGCCTCTCTATGCATGCGAATGCCAGGCTTTACTCAGGTCTATCATACTATCGGTGCATATACACCGATAGTATGATAGACCTGAGTAAAACATGGTATGGAGAAACCGGGAACCAGGACAAAGCGATTGGCAAGCAAACATAACAGGCGGCTGTGCAACTGAACTGCCACACACCACAGGCCACCCAAACCATTGCTGTACCTTAGATGCCCGCAAGCATCAGCTGCAAGAAGCAATGCAGATGACCGCATGAGAAGGCAGTTGGGGGCTTACGATAATAGGGGACCCCCAATTTAGACCCCCAAATAATTAGTAGGATCCGCTTATGACAAGGACCCCAATAAGGTGCCCCTAATTTCTCGGAAACCCCCAGTTCAGCTTTGCCAAGCTGCAGGATGCCGCTTCCACCCACTTGACGCCAAACAGGATGACCACGCTCAATTCGCCCGGGCCTCCAAGCAAACAAGCCCAAATCAAAGAGATTCAAAGAGGTTCGCCTTGGCAGAAAGGGCTTGCAAGCACCCATCCACCATGACACTTTGTTGCAGAACTGTTTTACTGGCCATGTCTGACCATGTCTGGACCCAGCTTAGCCTGATCTAGCCTGAAGGTCCGCGTAGGCTTATGGCTTAAGCCTAAGCTCCGAGCTGGCGAGTGTACTCCCCCTGGATCAATGGCTTCGGAGGGCAGACGATCCAAACCTTCGCAGGGACCCTCAGACCCTCATTCAGACTCATTCATATGGATCCTGCAGTTTGCATCTCTGAGTTTAAAGGTGCCCAGCTCCCCTGGGTTGCTCACCAGTGGTTCCCTCGGCTGGCCCTATGCAAACAAACCATCCTCCAGCCAACAAGTCAATCTTGCAATCTTTCGGTTCTTCACTATCCAAAGCAACTAAGTAACTAAAACCCGCTTGACTCGCTGGTTCAGCCTTTAGAGATGTAAGAACCTGAAAAGGGCACTCTGAGGGCCCCGGCGCGGTCGGGAGCCGCGCCGCTGCGAAGCAGCGCCTCCGTGTCGCAAGGGAACAGGCGAGAATTTTCGCTTTAGAATCCCATGGGTTTTAGCAAACATGTGCAGAACTTCCTCTCCCGAGGCATTGTGCTTTTGGTATTGTATTTATGTATATATACATATGTATCCGTTTGGTTAGACTTTGTATACTTATTAAAGTATACATCAGAAGAACCAAGCATGGAAACCGACAGTTCGAAGGAACAAAGCCGAATGAGACAGGCGCTGTCAAAAAACTCGAGATATGTAAGTCACACTTTGTTCACTACCCGAAGCCTCGCGAAGCTTCCCCAAGCCGGAGTGACTACAGTCACTAGAGAGACGGAACCGATGAGAAATTATAGAAGGAAGGAAGGACTCACGTGCCTCCCTCTGCTGCTCGGCCAAGAGGCGCTCAGCCTACACAGTAAGTGCAATCAAACACAGCCTAGACAAAAACTCGCAGCAGGATCCGGCACCTCGGCCTGCTTCTCCTTATTGTGCACTCAAACGTTGTCAGCAACACCTATACGGCATGTGGGTGCTGCATGCTGTCAGACAGAAAGTAAAACAGAGGGGGGGGGGGAGGGTAGGGGTTGGGGTGGGGGGCGGAGTGTCGATGCAGCATGAAGACCCCCTCCATCAGGTGTTGTATGCAACCATGTCTAAGAAAGTGTTGCAAAGTTCCAACATTCATCAATGGACTAACTCAGAAAAGCTTGCCCCAAACCTACCTTGTTTGATCACTTTGCCTGTATCAGAACCATCCCAGACTCTCTTGGACCCGCACATTCTCATCATAAGTTCAAGAATCAACCGAAAGACTGAGATGAAAACTTTGAAGTGAAAAGCAGGACCTTTACGAACAGTTAAACTCCTACATGTGTATGGCCCTGATTCAGAACATTAGGAAAGCCTGCGTTGTGAAATCATAAAGTGCAAACGTCGCAGCCCGTTTCACGTGTCTCAGATCGCATAACTTACGCTTTGTGCTTCCGGGCGTCAGTAAGCAGAATTGCCGCGTCAGGCTGCCACGAGCCATCATTGAAGAATTGCCAGTGCCTTAAAACAAGGGAATCGCTGAATCATCGTTGAGTGCAGTGGTGCGCAATGAACTCAAGCTTCATGCTTCCCCTCAAACAAATCTGCATGCAGACAGTCGTCTCAACTTTGTTGGGTGGGCTCCCGTTGTGTGGGGCAACCGATGCCATCACACCACCTTGGTTGCGAGATTTTGCGGGTGCCCCAGGCACTGCTTGACTGTTATTATTTGTCACACCTGCTTCGTCTTCACACGAAATTGAGGCAGGAGGCCACTTTGTGCAATTCCAGCTTCGTCGTCCTCAACACCCAGCAAACGATCCGCTGTCCAGCTGTTTCTGACCTGCTCGCCTCTACTGAGTCTACTGAGGCTTGCTATGGTTTTCTTCATGTTTTTCATGTCTCATCTGTCCGTCACAAACCATCGGCCCTTGCTGGTGCTGAAGATCCAGCCTCGACCCACATGCCCCATGATTCAGACATACGCCGACTCTGTTGCAATATAGGTGTACACATGGTATACACATGGTGTACGATCATGTCAAGACGAAGGTACCCTACTTACCATTTCTATCGCCCGCCTTCTCCTCCAACTTGGCGCCAAACTGGTTGACCTCGTTCCCGCCGCGTTTCCTTGCGGACAACAGCCCCGCGAGCTCAATGGCAGGTTGAATGACACACATGGCGCATCGCTAAGCTCCTGCTTTCGGTACTCGCCTTGTAGGTTCGCATACCGAGGCGACAGCAGCCAAAGTGACGGCGGGTGCTCCTCTACAGCACGATGCTGCGGCCCGTTTCTGCGAAGCCCATGACGCTACATACTCTAACGTTACAGGCACTCCGAAGAAGAGAGAGCGAGAGAGAGAGAGAGAGAGTGTGGGTGAAACAAAAAACACGGGAAGAGTGACATCTCTCCGCCCCTTGGATGAATTACAGCGCACACACACACACACACACACATGGGGACACACAAAAGCAAAACAAGAAAAACAACGGTCTGAATGGGCGCAAGATGTACTTCCGGGTTCCTCGTCACCCGAAGCGCACTGCTTCTTTGCCATCGCATTTGTGAATTCAATCTGGGAGGCCAGCACCTCGAGTTTACATGCATCTGCATGCACCATGCATATGCAAAAATGAGCATCGGCGATATTAGAGGATCCACAGGATCCACCCCATCGGTTGTCCAGAAGTGTCATTTGGTGACAGGCCCTCCGTGCCCCGGTGCTGTCCCGGTCGCGGATATGGACGCATCATCGTGCCAATCACTGCCGTCGTGGTACTGCCATCGGGCCACCTGCCCGGCTCTGGCATCGGCATTCGACATGTGGGCAAGCTTGACCGTTGCTACCGTAGTTCGGCGAACCGGTCGACATGAACATGGCCTTGTAAGGTGCTACTCCGGCATGCGGCTGCGCTGACTGAATCGGCCCCAAGCGATCAGCCAGTTCCTGACTGGCAGCAAAGGTTGGCGTGCTTACACTGTAGGACTGTAGGCCCACACAATGTCACAAGCGCAAGAGCGCGACACACTCTAACAGCGCCAGGCTTCCACGTCGCTGTTGGCAAAACGCCAGAAGCCGTCAGGAGCACTGCTGAATAGCCAGCCTGATCCCTTCTGCTGTCTCCACAAGGGCTGGTTGAAATTGTCCCGCCCTTTCTGGAGAACCTCATCCCCATTCAGCAGGCAACCGTTGTCAGCGAAAATCTTGCACAACTCAGTTAACTGAAAAGTGATATGCCAGTATCAGCCAAGCCAACGTATTCACCTTGGACAGCGCCCCTTGCCGGCGCGAGCAGCCACAACTGTTTCGGATGACCTCAACAGGACTGTCTGCCCTTTTTTGCCTCGGCAGATCCGACTTCGAGGCTACCGTCAACTCTCCCGCCTTCATCGTCCGCTTCGACGGTATCGGTGTAGGTGCCTAAAACAGTACTGAGTCTAAACAGGCTGACGTCTGTGCTTGTCTTTGGGGCCTGTCAGCTCTGGTGTGGACAAGCTCCGTCTGGCCATGGTGAGACATTGGAATTGCTGTTGCCTCTTGGCAAACTCAAGAGCAAATTTAAAAGATGAGTAACCTGGCCTAGTAGTTAGTGACAGCTGGTGTCTGTGTGAAGGTGCGTCTTGCTCTGGTGTCAGGTGGTGTGTGCTTGCTCACGTCACTGCTCGCTACGTCGTGGTGTTGCCTTGGCATCTGAAGCCATGCTCGAACTTTCTACTGAGCAGGGAACAGGACGCCAGCGTTCTGCACATTGCCATGGCCATGAACCCATGCCCATGGGAGATCTGGAAAGTGCGACGCCATGATCGGCACTGACATTGGTTGACAAAGTTTCAAAGAGCTGGGCTCCGACGAGATCTGCGACGGGCCTTGGTTCAAGAATGGTGAACCACAGAAACACAAGGCACAGTCCTGTTTCTAGTAGCCAAGCACCTAAGCCAGTGGCCATTCCGGGACTGGACTACGATCTGGCCATTTTCATCTGCCACTCGGACCCTCGGTCCCGCGAGCACTCTTGCTCTGCGACCGTCGGTTTCTAAGCCTTCTAAGCTTGCTGGGCCCTGGAACGTCTTCACATTCGGAACGGCGGCAGAGGGCATGCCTGCCACTCGGAGATGTGGCGTCACAGATAAGGCAAATTCTGATGATGGCAGCAAGGCAGCGCGCCAAGCAATGCTCTGAGTGCTGGACATACGCACATGCAAGACAGCGATCCTATCTGAAACCTGGCTGTTGCCACATGGGACTGCCATCCGTGAATCATGACAATTGCCGCTGACCTTCTGCTTGCATAAACATAAGGACCTAAGCCGATGGCCCACATCCAGGCTGCGACCAGACCTCACACCCGCACTCCTTCTCATTTGAACACAGAGAGCGTAGATCCGGTAAGAGGCAAGCTCCAGCAGCAAGTGCTCCGAATGAGTTGTTGCAGAATGGCCTGGGCAAGTCACGGCGTTCAATACACATGGAGCATGGGAAGTCTGAGGCTGCAGCATGGCAACATGTTGCACATGCGTGGCTGTCCCAGAGGTGCGTCAGGTCATGCTTCTGTTGCTTCTGTTGACATTTCGGTACATCAGCGACAAGGGTACCCCGCGAATCCTGACTCTTTCTAAGCATGCAGCCCTCAGGCAGTTGTTTTTCTTTACTGAGCCGCACGAGCTGCGGGTGAACCAATGCTGCGTTCAGACATCAGAATGGCCCGGGAACGAAACTCGTCATAGACCGTAGGCCAGCATGCGAAGCCCAGCACTACTAAGTGCTACTAAGGCCACTTAGCTAGATTCTAAATGCCCAGCTGACCTACGAGAGACGGCGTAAAACAAGCATTGCCAGATGTTTCGATTGTGTCGAAAGGACATGGTGCAGCGTTGCAAACCTTAACTTCAATATGGTCAAAGCGCGGAAACACAGATACGAAGGCTGCCCTCGGCAGTTTCCCGCACCGAAAGGCAGTTCAAGTTTGCGCTAATCGTGAGGACCCAGGAGCTAGTCAGCGAATCTTCTGCTCCACTGTTGCACGCTGCTGCTTGATGATGGCGTGGGGTCCGCATCACATCACGCAAATGCCTAGAGCGCGGTCGGTTTTGTAACCCTGCACATGAAATTGGCGTGGTTCACTGTGCGGGGCGAGCATGGCTGCCTCGCTGTGCAGGTTCAGCAGCAAAAAGCCCTAACGGACTATATGTGAGTCGTTGGGCTGCCATTGCTGCAAACGATCGGACATAGGCAGCATGGTTGGGCATCCAGGTTGGCACAATGTGGCATGTCGCCACCTTGAAAAGAGGAGTGCCTAACACCTTCAGCGTCGCCATGCAGCCCAAGCTGCGAGTTGAAAACCTTTTTCCGGCATCTTAATTGACCTTTAAATGCAGCATGTCTGACTTCAGAGCGACAGGCACAATGACGCATAAGGCTAGCTGATACTCAACCAAATGCAAGGGCTTGGTCACTTGGTCGGACTTGCTGCCTACATGCAAACCATTGATTCACTCGAATCCAGAAGGTGGGTTTCTGTTGAGGCCAAACTTGTGGATTCGCTCACATGTATACATAATCAGCACAAGGCACTGCTGTGCAAAGTCCAGTGCATATTCTGCACCGCTCCGCTCCTATGAAGAGGGAAGCAGACTTCAGGAACTTCATGCCATCAAACGGCTGTAGAGCTCATAGCCTCGGGCAACGCACGGGCCAGGCAAAATGCAGTGAAGCTTGGGAAACTGTAGGCCCGTGTGGCTTTATGCAGTGTCCCGAGTCAAGGGGTCCTGCCGCATCCTGCGCGTGTCTACGAACATCCCGAAGCCTAAGTCCTGAGGCTTCAGGGAAAGCTTGGGGATGTTGGGGATGGCCCGCGCCCGCGCTGACAAACCCGAAACAGCGAAGCGCCCGGCTCCTTCGCTGCGCTACACTACACTACATTGCCCTGAATGTCAGTTGCTGAAGTCGAGCCACGCTGGTTGAAATTCTGGAGCACCTCGGCTCTTCCCTTGTGGCTGCCTGGCAGCTCAGGGCAAGTCCTGCAGCTCGTGATGCGTGGCTTCTACCGCCCTTGAACGGCCCACCTCCGTTCGGGGTCACGGTAGCTTCTTTGTTCTCAGCCGACTTGCCTGCTGGTCCATGCGGGAATCTGATTGCACAGGCTGCATGGGACCTCCTCATGCAAGGAATGGGATGTCTGTGCAGCCAGGACACTTGTGAAGTGCTCAGACTTCTGCGTCGAAGGCATGGGGGACAAATTGGTAGAGCACTGCTCCTGCACGACTGACAGACTCAGACATCGGCAACTGCATGGTGGGAGCTTCCTGGAAGTTTGCGCCCAAGTCGAAAGCAAGTCCCTTAGCTGACTGGCATTCGGGGCGTTTTGTACAGGACATGTCAACATTGTGGCTTGCCAGCTTAATTCATAATTAATCGCCTCCACTAGGACAAATCAAGCGAGGCTTACAAGTTTAAGCGACACACAGGCAGGCTTGGGCAAGCAATGGTTTGAACTGCGCTGTTCTTGCTTCGTGTCAAGACGCCGGACGACGATTCTGGAGGCCAGATGCACCTTCACAAGTCACCCTGGACTACTGCGAGTGATACTGATGATTCATGTTTAATGTGAACATGGGCGGCAGGCAGCCATTCCTTGAGCGTTCGGCCATTGAATGCAGAAAGTGGCGAGCATCGTGGATCCTCTGCTTTGATGTCCTTGATGGTCCCTTGTGGGATATTCTTGTCCTGGGGGCCACGACCATGTGGCGCCAACAACCTGCACAGAATCAGAGCCAGCGCGGCGACCTCGCCGCGAAAGCGGAAGATTGATTGAAGCAGCGACATGACCTCTCCGGATGCCCAGCAACCAAGCAATGCCAATCGGATGTGCTCACCAGGCTCTAGCTTTAAGGTCATTACGGTCACAGACGGCGAAGACACCAAGCATGAACGCGCACGCTGCCTGCGACCAAGCGGAGCCACCCTGGACCACACAGCTGTCGGGAACAGAGGCAGAGGATCACTGGAGCCAGAACAGAATTCGGTCAAGCTGTAGCAAAAGGGGGCACAACGCAAAAGCTTTTGACAGCGCAGCGGCGTGCAGCAAGTTCGTTTTTGGCTGACGCGGATCTGGTCTGAGGTCAGCCGCTGCTCGCTTCGTCCGACCTCAGTACCAACAAAAGCTTCACTTGAGCGTGTCAGAGGGCTGTCCGGGCTGTCCGAGCTGTCCGTACGCTGGGACATGAACTCCGAACTTGAGGAAGACTCGTCGGATTTGTCCCCCTCTTCACCTCAGTTCTTCTACTGCCCTCCAACAACCGCACGCCATGTCGCACCGCTTGGAGCTACAATGAAGGAAACTTAGGCACTGGACTGTAGTAGCTGTAGTACTCGTACTCCGAGGACGACTCCTATGAAAAGTGAATGTGACAGAGCTTACATGGTCACATGGCCCCATGCATCATTTTCCATGCCAATCCTTGTCAGGTGCCGGAGTCTTCTTTGCGGCCTTGCTCTTGGCCTGCGGGACGTGTGGTGCTTTGCTAGGCTTCCGGTCTGTTGCAGGTTTGTGTTTATGGAAACCGTTGCAAGCCTTGCCGGCAATCAACGGAATCTCTTCCTTCTTGGGCCGTTTAACCTCAAAGGGGAACTTCCGCAAGGCCGTTACAGCTTGAGCAGCCCCCGCAGATGAGTAGTTCTGCACAAGACGTCGGCCCCCTGTGTTGCTTTCTTCGTCGCATCTTGTTCCTAGCGGGCGCTCATCAAGCAAAGCCCGGGAGCTGATGTCGAAGGCATAGCCACACTTAGCAGCACACTAGACTCAACATGATTCAATCGATTTCAGTAGAAGATGCCCTGCGCAGCCCCCACGTCCTGCTTGTCTTGTGACGCCTTCCTTTCGGCGTCTTTCTCGCAGGACGGCGACTTCTTGGGACCCTTCTTCTTGGCAGCGGCTTTGGACGCGGCTTTGGATGCTGCAGCTTTCGATGTGGCGGCTTTCGACGCCTTCTTCTTGCCTTAGACCACATGGGGGTTTACGACGTACGAAAATAGAGGAGACCTCATATAGATCCCCAAATAGTAGGATCCCCTTAGAATAAGGACCCCCAATAAGGTACCCCTAATTCTCGGAAACCGCCACCTGTCGGCAGAGTTACCGCCTACCAGGCCCGCTCCACATGCATCCCCAGCTACTTCCGAAGTGTGCTATAACCTGAAGAACCACCCTTTTCCTGGGGTTCGCGCTGCTCGGCTCGCATCTCACTTTCCTCACGTCTTTCCTCAAGTGCACGCCAGGCTTTCCAGCTGATGTCATGCTCTGGTGCACTTAGCAGGTACTGTGTTTTGCTTGGGCTCCACATTTGCGAGCCAAAAGCCCAACATACAATCACCGTCCCCGCAGATCCCGAGAAGCATCCCCCCGACTTTCAGGAAAGCGGCTTCGCACGGAGGGCGTCTCGGGCCTTCTCACGCGAACGCCTCGAAGACCAAAATTGCTTCTTGACATGAATCGTACTGCAACCCAGAACAAAACCTATAATCGGGACCCATGACAGCCTGGACGAGAGAATCAAGACACCACAGCAAAGCTCCAGGAACGCGTTCTCAGCGTCTGAGGGCTGCGCGAGGCCTCCGCAGCCCGCCGCAGCCGGCGGCCTTCCCCCGCAAAGCTCCCACATACCGCACAGCTCACAAGATTCAAAAACCAAAAATCCAGGCAAATCATCTCCCTGGCTTTTGCCTTAAACCACCATCCCACCAGTCAGTCTTGCTCATGAATCAAAACTTCATTCCTGACCCCCTCCCCCCCCGGAACCCATTGAACCCAGCCGAAGCCTGAACCTGCTTGACCTTGACAATTAAGAATTCTCCGGCCCGACCGAACCTTGCGTGTCTTTTGAAGGGGTGGAAGAGTCACCGAAACTTCCCAAAGAACAACGAAAGCTAACAAAACGCTCGAATCAGAAGGCTTGACTCGGCTTTTCGACGTTTCTTCGCATCCCCGTCTCTGAGTCCCTCAGTCTCTGAGTCCCTCAGGCTGGGCCTCGGCCTCTTGATCCCTCCCGGCCGGGGTCTCCCTGGTGTCCTTGGCCTGGAGCGCCTCACATGGCGATCCGACAACGCAAGGGGCGCGGCAAGGTGCTGCGAGCAACGCAGTTGCTCAAAAGATCTCAAAAGCAAGAGGCTGGGCTGCGCAGGTGCGCAGTGGTGCTCCTTTTCCGTGAGGACGCATTGGCTAGGTCCACGCTTGGCCATATGGGAGCATGAACTCCACTGCCAGGCCAAGTGCAGGCCGAGGACAGGGCTAGGTGCGTGGAGACGAGAGCACTCCTGCTACAGTACTGGGTCGTTCCGTAGCATGCTTTGAGGTGTCACCGGCTCATAGATGCCGGTTGATCCAGGATTCCTCAGCTTTCTGTTTTCTCTCGAACACCGCCATCCATGAGCAAATAAGTAGCAGGGGCTAGAGATTCTCGGCATTAAACTTCGCCACAGCCAAAGTTGAAGAAGCGAGACTTCTTGCATGTGCGACTGCTGCGCAAGAACCGGGATGACATTTAAAGCCAATCCAGCAAAGCATCACAAGCCGCCGAGCTGGCGAGTGGCTCTGCCGCGAGACCAGGTGCTTCCTCCGATGGGGGCTTGAGATTCCGACTTTCAGAAAATTTCAGCTAGGCTTTGGCCTTGGCAGGTGTCCCAACCCGTGCAGACTTAAACTACTGTGTGCCTACCACTAGCCACGATCGAGCCTACAACTTATACCTTTTAGCAAGTTTCAGCCGCTCGTTGTCCGCCAGAACCGCCTCAAGCCGTGCCTTGTCAGACAAAGCCTCAGCGGCTTAAAGCTGAGAGCAGCTCTGCCCCTTTCTTGCATCTCCTTGACCACTCTTTTTTGAGCAACTTTTACAGTTCACTGAATCAGGGGATGCCGCCAAGGAACACGCTGACGTTCCGCTTCACTGCGCAACCCACCCTTCAGAAATAAGGAAAGTAGTGATATGAGTTGCTCTGGAACGGCTCTTCCAAGGAATGCGACAGCTCAGACTGCTCAGGTCATGGCCACTGCAGAAGGAGACGCCTCCTGACATGTTGCTGTGATTGCATTGTAGAGCCCTGTAGAGCCGGTTTCGCGACAACGTCTGCAGTGACCCCTTTCAAAAAACAGTCTCCTGAATCTCAGAAGCACGTGGCACTCCATTCGGGCTCCTCTCACAGAGCAAGCAGAGCCCAAACCCGCCTCGCACCACAAACAGCACAAGTCAGTAGCCGGGCCTGGATCCCTGGGGCAGTTGCATCAGACTTCCATCCAGACGACTGCCTCGCCAAATGCTTACATCACCACGGAACGTCAAAGAACGTTTGCGGTGAAGATCGGCTATGTGCCGTGAAATATTCACGGGTCTCGGTAAACCTACGCTCTGAGAGGACCATTGCCTTCGAGCCCCTCCCTCCGCACGTTGCTGTCGACCTTGCCGCATGGCAGCTGGCAGAATCAGGCTCAGGGATGGTTCAAGCAAGTCAATGAAAACGACCCTTGCAGTTTCCGGCAGCCGCCTCGATGTCGCGCACATGCAGCTCGTAAGCATCCTCAGTCATACTGAGCTTACCAGATATAGTAAAAATCACCGAAGCCTGGCCCAGAAGCAGCCTGTCAAGCCGAGAAGCTGCTTCCCGCCTCTGTGCATCGACCTGTCTACCATGCGCGAAGCTGGCAACATCCGGCGAGGCCATACAGAGAGAAGGTCGAGAAGTTGGGCAGAAGTTGTGCCTGGTCCTTCAGCTGTGACAGCTCCGACTCCCCTTCGAAGCGACATCTCCAGAGCTCAGCCTACAGTCCGGCGATGTCGGAGACGAAAATGGAAACTGGTTTATTCTGTGTGCAGTCTCAGATAGTCTGGGGAGTACATCTGCTCAGTGCCCCTCAAAGGCTGTGGGCTTTGCTTAGGCCTCGAGGTTCGTTTTCTCCAGGGTTGCCTTGGAGGTCTGCTGCTCGAGCTCCATGGACACCTGCTGCAACCTGGGCCACAGAAGATTCCCAGCGGCAAAAGGCCCTGCACGTTTCTCGGCCTCACGGACGAGAAGCGAACACCGCCGAAAACGATCTGTCGGGGCGCGCGTCGTTCTCAGCTGCCAGTCTACGCTTGGCATTCGTCAGCTCGGCCTTCGCCTCACGCCTCGGAGGCCGTGACACAGCATCGTGCGCAACATGATGACCAACCCAGTGGTATGACGGAGCCAAAGCTGCTCGAATCCTCATGAAGCGACTGTAGAAACACCTTGTTTGCAGTCCAGGTACAGCCGGTTCTCCAGTGCTTCCACATGTGTCCATTCCTCCTCCCTCCTGGCTGCAGACTTTGACGTCGTGGCAGCTGCCTGGTCGTGAACAGCGGCAATAGCAGCACTCGAAAAGCCAACAGGCAACAGCAAGGTGAGGAATCGAGTTCGTCGGTATCCGAAGCGCCTTCTCCGTGACAAGTTGCAGCTCTTCCTCTAAGCTCTCAGCCTGTTGCCAGAACATGCCGGAACTCCAAAGTGTCCGCCGTCTCACTTCACCTCGCCTGCAGAGTGACCTTGTCCATGCAGATTCGCGCCGCCAGCGTTTCCTCATTCCAGGCGCTGCGCTCCTGAGCGAAAAGGTCCTCCAGCACCGTGCGGGCAGTGGACGCTTCGGCACCTGGCGTGCTTCGCATGAAGCCATGTGAAGCCATGCATTTTGGCCATCTGCCTGAATCTACGACTCTATGACTTCTGTATAAGTAGCAAGTATGAGTTAGGCTGACGGGCACTCGACGAGCCCAGCCTCTGACAGCGCTTGCCGAAAAACAGCTGTTGGATTAAACACGATCGTGGCTTGACTATGCTAAACTCACCATCACACCCTGCACCCTGTCTTCGAACTTCTGAGACTTCCTCGCGCATCTTCTGTACTTCCTGGCCGAGATCCGCGATCCTCAGGGCAAGCAAAAGACCTGCAAATACCTGCAACTTTCATTACTACCTCTGCCACCCACAAGCTGAAGCCAAGTGTCCGATCTGTGCGTGCCTTGGCATCAGCCTTTTGGTTGGCCAGCTGAAGTTCCAGCTCTGTCTTCCGATCTCTGGCAGCTGTGAGGTTAGCCTTTGTCTCTCACCACAGCCAACACAGCAACTGCAACATAAGCATCTTGCTAGCATCTTAGTACGGGAAAGGATTGTCATTGTGACATGCATTCGGCGTGGCGGGCAAACGGAGCGCCGGCCCTGCGGAGCCATGACAAACGCAAGCAGCCTCATGGACGCGCCGTTCTCTGAGAAAGCGTTCTTCGTGAGCTGCTTGCCGCGCCACGACCTGTGAAAACTGTGCTGGCACGAGGGGGCTACGAAGACTTTGCATACTACGCCATTCTACGCCTCCTCCTGAAGCACCTTCTGAGAACGAGCTCGGTACTCTGCCAGCTGCACCTCAGGAGGCTCTTTGAAGCTCTTGCACTGCCACTGCAGCATGCTGCAACGGAGCCCACAAGCATCTGCAAGGCGTAAGCCTTCAGGTGCTCGTTGCCATTGGTGGCCAGAGATAGCGCGTCCTGGACTTCACCTCAACTGACCAATGGTAAGCATCACAAATCGACTCATCCTCTCTCGTCTGCACTAAAGTCGCACTCCTGCCAACACAGCACGTGAGAGAATGCCATGAGGCGTGTCATGTCCAGAAATTGGCAAGCAACGCGTGTGCTTGCGAACCGTGCTAAGCACTTCCTGCTGCCTCGCAAGGCGGAAAGCACACGCCAGGCAAGTATGTAGAGCACTAGCACCAGATGCCCTTTGAATTTCGGACTCGTCGTTGCGCGACAATGGGTGTCGGCCTGTTCAAGTCCGACCTCGCCATCTCGACAGCCTCGCGAAGTCGCTGGAGATCGTGCCTGCTTTGCATTCCCGGAAAGCTTCATTTCTCTGTTCAAACATCCCGAAGAAACCCAAGCTGACAATCCAAATGCCACATACTCACGCACATTGGAGCTGCTCAGGTCTCTTGTGGCTCCCAGCAGCATTTCCAGGCCTTGCATGCTCCTGAGCCGCCTGGGCGTCGCGTCGCTGTGCCTCAATCACATCGCGTTGCCGCTGCCGCCGCGATTGTTCCTGGAGGTTGGGTTGAAACAACATGCATTCAGGGGCGCCCGCGCGGCATCTTTTCTGTTTGAACCCATTTTCGAGCACCTGCTGTGTGACCTAGGCCTTCACAGATCTTATTGAATGGTGGTTGCAGGGACAAGAGATGCCTTTTGAAATTCTGAGAGAATGAGTGTTCTGAAGGCTGCAGTCCTGGATAGCAATGGAACTCTCCATCGCAACTGTTCGGCTGGTGGCTTGCAGCTGTGACGAGAGGCGCTCCAGCTCTCGGGAAGAGCGCGCCTGAATCCACTGAACGGGGAGGCTTTTTGAGAAAAAAGCAGGTGGGTGTGGCCGTGTGGGCCATGTGCCTGCAAATCAGCTGTTCCAGCGGCCAGCAATGCTTGTTGCTGAGCAGCTCGAAAGCTCTCCTCCATCGCGTTACACAAGCTGACGCTCTGTGAAGCTCTGTGTGAAGCTCCGCACGCCTGCTGGTGCCTCTCCCTCTGGATGGCCACCTTCATGTTGAGGTCACTCACGAGGCCCTCCAAGCGAACTTGACGTGCGCGCTGCGCTTGCCTTGCCACAGTCTGTGCATGGCCTACACATGCCTGTGTGTAAGTTTGTAAACTGGCTGCATGCAAGCAGCAAGTACGACATAACTCTCTCGCAGATCTTCTGCTCCCCAACGTGCAGCTGATCCAAGTACTCTCGCAGCATGGCTTCCACTGCAGGCTTGTTCAACGCGTCTCCTTGGGGGTGATCTGCGACTGCATTAAATTAGCAGCAGATGCAACAGTACCTAGCAGTACTCACTACACGTGTCAGCCTGGCTCATGGCCTCGATGTGTCCAAGCTGGCTGAAAATGGCTGAAAATCATCCGAGCATCGGATGGAAACAAGCGCATTTTGCGCAGCTCCCAGACCTTTCCGAAGCCTCCGAAGCTTTTCAGCCAAGAGCGCCGTAGTTCGGCTTTCTCTTGCGGCCAGCTGCTTCAAGGCCTTGGGTTCTCTCAGCGTTCTCTCCGAGAACGGCGCGTACTTATCAGGAATCAGGAAGCGCGTGCTAGGGCTAGGGGGTTGGTGCTGAGATGAACGGTTTTCTCTCTATAGCGTGTGGACAAACTGCATGTTTACACTGCCAGGCCGATGCGGGAGGTCGGCAGAAGGAGGAGCATGCAAAAGAATAATGTTCAGGCTGATGCTGCAGAATCCTCAGGAACGCTTCTACGGCCAGCAAATCCACACAGGCCGGTGTTTTGGCACGTAGGGCTTGGCTAAGTTGTGGCGAACCACTCGGTAGTCCTGACTTCAGAAGTCAGAGCAGGGTCTCTTCAGCCCTTTGCCTTGATCGACTCTACGCTCCAACACAAAGCCACTTGGAAACATATTGCGAAGGTCAAGTCAGGCTGAGAAGTCCAAGAGGGTTCACTTAATGCTGGTCGAGGCGCTTCCTCGTGGCGGAGATGAATCTCTCGTTCCCGGGCCTCCGCCTCAAAAACTCGGCCAGAGTGGAGCAGGACTTGATTCCATTGATGTATGTAGGAGGAGCCATGGATGGCCAAGTGAAGCGAAAGGAACGCGCCCATGAAACACAACTCCATGGCTTACGCAAAGGAAGTCTTACATGCCCTGGAAATGCCTGAGAGGTGAGAAGAGCGAAGGTACAGGACACATATGTATATACATGTACATAGAGCATGTTTCATTTGTGGGACCATTAGTCGTGCACTAAGTCCGCTACAATTTTTTGTATCTTGCGTTCTGTTTTGCCAGCACTTGCTGGCTGAAGAGAGCACCAACACTTCGAGGGCCCAAGCTGAGAGAAGCTGAAGCTTGTATGCACGGCGCACATCATGGCACGTCCATTGCAGCTCTGGCCTCTGACCGGGACCTTCGCTGCAGCTCCTCCAAGCTCTCCTGGGCTGCCACAGAAAGCGCGCCTAGAAAAACGATGCCCACTTTCGATGTCTTACGGTAGTCTTACGTGCTGCCACACCAGATTTCTGCGAAACAAGGAGGCCGCAGGGTGCTATGGGACACCACTACATGCCATCCACCACAGCTACGAGCACAGCAACCAGTCCATTGAGCTTAAAGCACAAGCTGAAATCGGCCTTGCACCTTCCAGCAGAGCTCCCATATTAGTAGGATTCGGCTTTGGGATGTAGACCCCGTATGAATATTCTTGGGAGGCTTTGGGCCACTGTCAAGGCTCCGAGCTCCAGAAAGTTTCCTCATTCAGACAACTATGCTTTCAAGGTCTCATTGGCGAATAAAGTCCCTGGTACCAGAAAGCCATGACTCTGCTTGCCAGGCTTGCTCCCTCCTTCGCAGGTCCAACACCGCCTCCTGGCAAAAGCTGCTCCAGGACGGGCTTTGAAGGCAGTGTCCGCGCTGTTTAAACATTGTGTTCTTCTTGTTCTCTATCTGCTTCGTGCTGCTTGGGGCAGCCGCACGGCAGCGTGTAGCAGGCATGAAGGAGAAGGCTTTGTGAAAGGAGTCGGTTTGGCCACGGCCACCCACAAGCCCCGGACTGGAGACCTTTCGATGTTAAAGGGGCCCCTGTCCATGTGCCAAAACCATGCTAGAAAGATGGATGTTCGTAATGTTGCACTCGCTTTAGTGAGAAGGGGCACTATTATGCGATGTTTGGGACCCCCCATTGTTTAGGGTGCTCCTCAATTATGCGATGTTTGCCCGGCCAGGGTTGAAGGGCGGGGGGCCGGGGAGCCAAAAACTAAAAAAAGTTTTGATTCAGAAACTCCGGAATTTTTGGTGTCCAGCCTTATTTGAATTCATTTCAAAATTTCATTACGAAACAGGCCCCCAAACAATTTTCCAAGGGAGCAGCCCACGAGCTGCCCTGATTCGCTTTAGCAAGTTGTTTCGGTGGTCCGCATTTATGCGGAGCCCCGGCGACCGTGGAGCTACAAAGCCTGGAAAGCTTAGACCCTCAAGCTTCAAGGCTTCCCCTCAACCCTCGACCCCTAAGCCGCCCTACCCCCAGCCCCGTCCCAGCCCCAGCCCACATTATTCAGGATCCCCGAAAACCCCAAAATTGTTTGGGGGGGGGGGGAGGCCTGCGCACTAAAGCGAGTCCAACATTAGTCGCCATGCTCATTCAACAGCGCGCTCCTGCGCCTGGACCTGGTCGTCAAGTCGCTGCACATGAGCCTTCAGTGCTCTGCGGCTGCAGTGACTCAAGTGGCTCCCAACCAACTCATGGCGCACGCCGCGCCTTTTTATTAGCCAACGTGTGCTCCAGGGCATCGTTGGCTTCTGTCTTTTTGCGCAGGTCGGCGCTCAGCTCTTCACATTTTGCCTGCATGTCCTTGCACATGCGAGCATGCTTCCGGAGCAACTCAATGGAAAACAGCAAGGCGCGCATTGAACAAGAGCACGCAGGGTGTGCCTGCAGGGACTCCCGCAAGACCTCATAACTCCCGGCCACAGCTCCCGCCTGGCTTCAAAGAGAACATGCCCGACCCTGTGTGGGAAACTCAGCAACAACCAGAGATTAACAGGACTTAAACAACAGGAGGACGGCCGTGGCAACTGCTGCGACGTCCCGAAGTGCGGGGGTCTCCTGGCCTCTGATGACGATGAAGTGCACACTTTGGATGCCTCATGCAAGTCCAGCCTCAGAGCTTCTGCACGCTGGCACTGCTTACGCGGGTCTTCAAAAGAAACCACAACATTGTACAACAACACATGTCCTCTCGCATCTCAATGCTAGAAAAGCCAAGCCGCTCCACTGGCCGGAGCGCGTCCAGTATCGGCCCCGCCTCCGGCTTCCCCACCGCGAGGCGATCCCGGCAGAATTCGGCTGATCGGATGAGCCGCTGCAGCGCATGGGAAAGCACCTCCCGCTGCTCGGTCTCCTGGAGTTCGCCGTTGGGGATCGATGTCGGGGGCTGAGTGTCTGAGGGGCTATAGAGAGGTGATCATGTCATCAAAAACCAAGGAATTTGAGCTGATTTGAGTTTGCCAGACAAGCCTGAGAGAGGCGGCGCCGCAGCTCTGCCTCTCCAAGATCCGCACCCCGAAGCATGGCATGGTCACGCCCGGATTGTCCCAGATTGTCTCACCGACTTTTCCAGGTTTATTCGGATACGTTGTGGCGCTTTCAAGTCTGGACTGTTGCTTGTCGGAATGTGTCGGATTCTTCCGCCACTTCATGCATCTTTCTAGCATCTCGAATTCAGTCAGGCATGAGCATGCGCAGTTGAGTCACAGGCATTTGAATGGCAGACTTGGAGTTGAAAAGCCTTGTAGCTCTGCGTAGCGGGCAGACCGACACAGCAGCTGCGAGCCAAACCCGACAATGCGGATGCATCGGCTAAATTGTCCAGGTGACATGCTTGCTTGCAACAACAACCGCCACAAGTGCGACATGCTTTTGGCCAGATCTATTGAATCTAAAGGGCATCTGCTGAGATCTTCAAGCCACACTACACATAGAAAATGCCACGTGGCACTTCCTGGCCTCGAGACCAATGTGGAGACACCTGTCACCAAGAATGCTAAAAGCAGGAGTACATGGAGGTACTGTTCGTGCTGAAGCCCCTTCGGGAGGTTGGGCTGAGACGCGAGCTTATGTTTCGCCCGTCCGACTCTCGGACTAGAGGTGATTGATGGCGGTTTGCGGATCCGATGCGCTTGTTGCAGGAGGTGCCTGGCCTCACGGTGCCGGGAACGAGATCTCCGCCTGACGGCAGGTAGACCTGAAAGTCACAAGGCACCAAGGCTGCTGAATGGCAAGTGCGAACGTCCGACTGTCCGAATGTCCGACTCTAACAGCTTCCATAAGCTCGTGGCGCTCACGGTCTGGACGGTGTTCATCCCGCCGCGTGAGCACTCTGTATCTGTACTTGACCTGGGCGGCCGAAAGGAACACATGCCACAGATTTCCAGACTTGGCTGCCAGCTAACGAGCAAGTATGTTCTCACTGGCAAAATCCGCGCAGTGCATTGGTTCCCGTTTTCGGTGTCATTGCCAGCGCCGTCCAGCTCATCCCAGTTCAGGGTTGCACGCTCTGGGAAGACTCAGCCAGCAACTCTACCAGGCCGCTTGCTGCTGATGCTGCCGTGGTTGCGTTCTCACCCAGCGAAGGATTCGAGCTCGAAGTTCTGGCAATCGCACGCAATCCTCCAAACAAATGGCCTCCGCAAGCAGCGACACGGTCGACACTGTGCTAGAGAGATGCCCTTTCATGTCCTGCACGGTTTGTCAAGAGATGCCAGAAGACAAGTGCAGCATTTTTGTCCACTGACAGCTGTTGCCTGGCATTGGTGCTTGGACATCCCGACACTGGCAATGCTCCTCACTCGGAAGCCAGTGCCCTCCCGTCCAAAAGGCCATGACTCAAGCTGAGCCTTTGCTAAGGCTGCTAAGGTGAGAATGCGCCCCCTCTGCTTCGAAGTGGCGACCATGCTACAAACAATTCTCGGGATGCCCACTGGCTTTCCCGAAAGCCGGACATGCCGGACATGCCGGACATGCCGGCACACGATCGAACAACGCCTTTTTGGAACCAGGCGAACATGAAGCTTTATCATCGGAGCACTGCAACATTGTAGTACGTACCCAAGCTTAGCAGTGATGCAACCAGGAGTGCTGTGCTACTTCGCTCTTCCGGACTCCGAGTTTAACTTTGGAATTCCCGCTGCATGTGCTCGGCAGTTGAATTGGAGCCTTTCAGGGATTCTTAGCATGGCACTCGCTGCTTCTTCGTCTTCTTGGCGGACTGCGCGGCCAGGGCTGCACTGACGGCTTCCCCCGTGAGGCTGCGCTTCTGGCTGCCTTGGCTTCTCTGACATGTTCCGTTTCGCAATTCACGCTGGCATATATGTCATATATGTACCATGCACTGCTAAGGCAGGACCTCCAACACATGAAGACCCTGCCAACTTCCATCGGCACTAACCGTCACTAACCGCTAGCCGGAATCCCCTATCCCACGCTCGGCAAAGCACGGATCCCAAGATGTGTACATGCATATCCAAAGATTCACTCTGGTCCAAAACTCAAAAAGATCTCCACAAAGTACGGTGTTCGGGGCTTTCTTGGGGGTGGATACTCCTGCCTTGGATTCCCCGAATTCCCTTGGAACGTCTCCATGCCCAGCGTCTCGGGCTTGGTGTCTGCGGCGAGGATCCGGCTCCACGCTTCAGGAGGCTCGGGCGACGTTGGGGCGTGGTGAGGACCTTGGCAAGTGTTTTTCAGAACCCTCAAAAACACAAGATAATAATCCCTATACTGCCCTTATGAGGAAGAATAGTTTGATTTTGGGGGGGTGTTCTGAAGCAAAGGGTACAGTACTCGGAAACAGGGGGTTTAGTGCTAAAGGTCACCATGGTCAATGATCAAACCAAACGAGGCTAAGCGAGGAGGCTCTCGCAGGACATCATGAACATTGTACCGCTGCGCAGTGCACAACTTGAACCTATGTGCACCTCTGGAACAAAAGCCGTATCTCAGGCAACAGCCAAGAAAACAAAGCATCGCATATCAACTCGGTTACTGGCCTGTATCAAGCAGAGCCAAGGCAACTAAGGCTAGCGGCAATACGAGCGACCCTGGGCCCTGCAGCACCAAGCCGCCAGACCGCTTGTAACACCAACACATGCAACACAAGTGCTCACATCGAGCTAGTGACGCTTGTTCAACAAGTGGCACCCGCTGTTACGGTCAAGTGCAGCAAGCTGGGCTGCGCTGGGCGCCTGGCGTCTTGCACAAGTGCAGACGACTGGACCTCGACCTCCTGTAGAGTCGGGCAAAGGTGCATAAGTACAAACGAGATAGTATGACCACCATTGACCAGCGCACAAATCACAAAGAGTTTGCCTTGATCCGCTCCGGTGACGCAACTGCATCTTGGCCAGCGTCTTGGAGAGCCGGTGTTTCGGGAATCTGCGACTCCTGCATGCTGCCATCCCACAGAATCACAGGTTGCATGGAGCCGTCAGCCGCCATTCGACTCAAAGCATAAACAGCTAGCGATGCTGTCTGAAGTGCTCCTGTTCTTGCTGGCTGTCTTTGAGTGCGGCCGCATTCAAGAGCCGCTCAGTTGCAGGATCGATCGCAAACAGCTGCGCAGGCATACTGCCACGAGCCTCGGCTCAGTGGCTCCGGTGATACTCTCGACGAAGACTCAACCCAGCGGTCCGCACTCGCATGCTGCTCTGCAGCTGAGTCACGGCCCCCTGCAGGAGAGATGCTGCCTGCAAGCCCAGCTCGGGACAATGCTTCTCCACCACGTACCGCAGCACACCGGCAGCAATCTTCACGGAAGATGAACCATCCTTCTGGCAGCTGCCACTGGTCTACTGAATCTACTGCAGCAATCCAGTCATGCTGTTTTTGCCGGAGCTGGAAGTCAGGTGTTCCGCCGCACCTCTGCCTCGCGATCCACGAAGTAGCGGACGCGATCGCAAACCCTCAGAGCCGTGCCCAGTAGCTCGGCACCCTCAGGGTTGCATCGTAGCAATGCCTCGCAGAAGAAGGTGGACACCTGCAGGCGACCAGGATTGGCTTTGATGAGGCTCTTACCGGTAAAATAATAGTAACGACATTGCTCTGAGAATCTCGAAGAAAAGCCCCCACCTTGCTGCTTTCAGGGAAGGCTGACACAGATGCTGCCGCTTCGCGTTTGAAGATCTGAAGCCTCGCAAAGCTGAGGTCTCGAATTGTGAAGAAGGGATGGTCAATCGACTATCGATTCTTGAACTTTGGATGGAGAATTCATATCAATTCTACGACGTGGGCTCTGAGCCTTGACAGGAAGTGGACGAAGCAAGCCACGGAGAAATCCAGCAAGCCAGGTTGTGCACCTAGAAATGCCCATTGTCAAAAAGAAAAAACTATGGCCACCAGTATTGTGTGCCACAGCATGCGATTGAAGCCTGCCTTGCTGGGCTGCTCGAAGCCAGGCTTGTAAAATCCTCTGCCCTGCATCGCGGTGCTTCTTCTGCGTTGCAAAGCAGAAGATCGATGGAAGCGTGGTGCAGAGCCTCAAGCCTTGGTGCGGCTAGTCTTGGCTACCGGGCAAGTTGTCCCACTACTGAATCCTTCTATAGATGTCAGTCAAAAGGCGATCTGCAATCTTGAGCTTCGAATGCTTTTGGAACTTCTGGAGCATTTGGAGCAGCTTCTCGACGTCACCCACGGGCCGCCCTTCCATAAAGTCACCACACCGCTCCGAAAGCTGGGCCAGCAGCTGCGTTGATAGCTCGAGGCGGCCAAACCGCAAACTGCGCAGGGCAGCGCACACCAAGTACACGGCCCGATCGTCAAGCAAGGCAGGGCCACCTGCAGTAGCTGTGGCATCGGACAGGAGCACCAAAGGCTCCGAGCCTTGCATGGAAAGCCAAGGTCCTTGCAGCAAGCTGGCCACCTGCGAGGCAGTTCCACCAGCCGCAAGCAGCTCTGCAGCAGCACATTGCAGGCTCTGAAGCGATGGCAGTGAAAGCTCACCGGCACCTGTGTTTGGGCGTAGCATGCTCTGGGCCTCCTGGAGCCAAGGCTTCCAGTCGTAGTCGATGTCTAGGCAGGCGCCGGGGGTCTCCAAAATGGCTGCTGCCAGGTGGAACGCAATGGTGCGCCAGGAAAGAACTTCTGCTGCATCGCCTGTACCTTCACTGTTTGCGACCCCTTCGCTCTGCTTGCTCGCATGGCCCCGTCTACCGCTCAGATAGCTGTCAGCCCACAGCAGGAGCTGCCTGGTCACCGAAGCACGGGAATCGTCGGGAAGCATGAGCAGGAGTCTGGCACACTTGCGAGCTGAGCTTGCCGAGCTCTGACCGGGTTGAGATACGACGTGCAAAGTTTCCAGCAGGAGCTCCGCAAAACCTGCCTCGCTAGCCTCGCCGACTGGAACTGGAAGGGACACGCCCGACATGCCCTCAAGACATGACGCCGGCAATTCTGAATGCATTTGAAGCATCTGCTTGTGAATTCGACTCAAAGCTTGCAAGATGGTCTGGGCATCCTCTGGCCCGCATTCCTTCAGAAGCTTGACCAGCTCACCGAGAAAGGGTGAGAATGAGAATGCTCCAGCAAAGTACTTGGGCAAGAAGGCCACCGTGGCTCGAGCTGCCATCATGATGTCGGAAATGTCGGAAGCCGGTGTCGAAACCTCCCTGCCATCTGCCTGGGTAGCTTGCCCAGTCCAAATATCCAAGAGTGCGGCCACTTGATCCGGAAGCAGCCACGTGGAGACCAAGGCTCGACGAATTAGGGGCGCCGTCTCTCCTAGCTTGTGCACCCGCAGAAGCCGGTCAAGCTCACGAACCTGCTCTGTCATCTCACCTGTGCTGTCCTGAATGTTAGGATCCAGCAAGTGGTCCAGGTGGACCCAGAGCGTCTTGTCCCGCACGGCATCGAGGGAACGCAAGTGCAGACCGAGCGACTCGGGTCTGGCATACTTGTCCTCATGCGTAGGGCTCCATTTCGCCAAGTTTTCAAAGAGATTTCTGAAAGAATCGCCAGCAATCGGCTTCTCGCCATCGGTTGCCTGGATTGCTTCGTTCTCCGTTGATTCCAACGGCATGAGATTGGAGCACCTGGAGCCCTGAACTTCTCCCAGCGGTGCAGCGTTGGTCCTGAAAGGCAGACAGCCGAAGCTTGAGCAACAAAGGAAGAGGCTAGGAACTACATGGAACTACGGGCAAACAGAGCCAGACTTAGCCAGACTTATAGAAGTCGCAGCCGGGCTGCATTCGTGCACGAACAAACCGCCGCAAGGCTTTGTTGGCATCGCGCTTCTTGGACAGCAGCATGCTCAGGCCATCCAGGCCCTGTTGTGACGGCTGTGTGCGCACTGAGCTGCAGAGACCAATCAAGGCACGGGCACGCTGGTCTGGGGGCAATCCGGT